TTTACACACAAAAAGATGTGAATATCTGTAATATCTTATGATCAGACGATGTAAGCAGGGTTTTTAATTAGTATTTGTCCCCATTGTTCCACTCTAACCCTAACTTGTTAAATATTTACCTCCATACTAAAATTTATTCAGCAAGAAACATTTTCACTTCACCAAATACGTATTTGGCAACAACTATTTGGTTTGGAAGCCAAACATTTAGTGTAAAGCTAAATATTTGATTTACTAAATAAATATTTTATATATTGATAAAATATTAACATATATATATTTAAAATATGTTATATATTTAGTTTGTGAGTAGTTTGAAACTTTGAGATTTATAAATGAATGACCAAAAACTGGAGATTGTAGGCAGATCTAAAACTCTAACTGGTGCATCTCTAAATGTAACTTTTTATGAATTATTGGATGCAGTTTTAACCCTAATCGATTCAAAACGAGGCAACATTTCTGCACTCTTCCATCCCTGAGGTACCAGCAGAACCCGTCTGGACCTGGACTGAACTCTGAAGGGTGAACATGTGTTTCTCCATCTCCTCCACCCTCAGAGCAGCAACAGGCTGCTGCCTCCCTGGATGGACATCATGCTTTTCTGCTGACTCATTGTTATTCCAGTCTTATTCTAAAACATATTTTGTACATCAGCTCTACCATTCTGCAGCTTAAACCGTTCTCTACGGTCATTCGCATGGCTGCTGCTCAGAGCGCAGCTGTTCCAGCATAAATAAGAGCAAAAGAGTCAGCTATAATTACCCCCATCCTTTATGCACCATCACTCATTTCAGCATCATTATTCTGTGCTCTGGACTTGTTAAGGTTACATCCCAGCTGAAATTAGCATCTTCATCTTTAATGACTCCCTCTCAGTTGCTCTTCCCTAATTTCAGCAGCTTCCCCTCATCTTAACAAACTGGTTAAAACACTCAGCGGAGAGATGGGCTGCAGATCCTCAGGTTTCGTCATGCCAGCCTCCTTCCATTTCTGAAGTTTCTCTACATTCATACAAGAGTTTTGATAAAGACTCCATTCAAAAAGTGAGGGTTGTTTGGAATTCAGGTGATATTTATGCAAAACCTGCCAGAAGCAGGCAACTAGTTCATTATTCAAATGAGATTTAAATGTTTCTATCTGAGGAAACAGCAGAACATCGAGTCTTCAGCGTTTTTTCATCGCTCCTCCTGGACCAGCAGGGGGCGACGAGCTCTGGCGTTGTGTCTTTGACTTTCCAATAATATCTCATACCATGAATGCCCAAGTCACTACATGAGCATTGATGTAGCGACAGTGGAGAGAAAAAACTCCTCTAACAGGAAGAAACCAGAACCAGAACCAGAACCAGCAGCTGTTAGCCAGGACTGACTGGACGTCTGAGCAGACAGATGGACTGACCCAACAGTACTTTCTATGTTAACAAAAAGTAAAAAGTTCACAGCAGGAGAAGGAAAACGTTTAGTTTTCATCAGCCAATCAGAACCAGAACCAGATTCCACTCTGATTGGACCATTACAGCTTTTACAACCAAGACAGAAAATATTTTTTTAAAAATCACAAAAAACACAGAAACAGTTAACAGACTTCTTTCCATTTAATAAATATGATTGTAAATGCATTAAACAATTACACACAGCACAGTTGAGGTCAAACAGAAACACTTGAACATTTTACCGTCTGTTCTCATACAAAAGCTGTACAGTAATAAAACTTTATTTTTTGGATTATTATTCATATTTCTCTATAAAAATAATAATCTTGCGAATTCTGCAAGGAGGAGATGAGAGGGTTGGGTCTAAAGCTCCGTGATGTTTCCCACAGCATCCACACATCCCAGCTCAGCTGAAGCAGGAAGCAGGAAGCTGGAAGCTGGAAGCCTTCAGACATCTGAACGGCTCCAGGTCCAAACCTCCAAGCAGCGCTTCCTTCTGGTTTGGGTTCAGACTTCACTGCTCCAGACTGACATGTTGGTTCAGTTTAAAACAAAGACTGGCCAAACGGACCTGGAGACTTTTTACATCCCTACTTTACAAAAGTTGCTCATAAAATAAAGTGAACTGCAGGGAAGTAAAATGTTATTTTGTTCTAATTTTCTTTTTCCACCAAAAAATAAATGACTCAAACACAAGACCTGGAACCTCCGATAAAAAACAAAGCGAGGAAGTAAACCGAGCCTAAAATTAATGTCTACAGAATGAAAGATGACATCAGTGTTAAAGTTGCATTGGCATCAGAGAGTCTGTTTTACATTTTACTGCTTCTGATGTTCCAATATTTTCACAATGCCTCGTTTCTACTGAGCGGTGCGGCACGGGTCGCTGCGGTTCGGTTCAGTTGGACAGTTTGTCCCGTACTCACAACCCAAACCGACCCGGTCCGGTCCCCCTACAGCTATAGGTCCATAGAACAATGATACGGTAGAGTTAGGATGCAACTACTGGCCTGGCAGTCTGTTGGTGGTGAGACAGAAAAACATCAATCAGTGGAAAAGAGCAGGAAAGGACTCAAGATGCACAACGGGTGAAATAATTTAAATATTATCATTAGAACTTTTGGAGAAAGTTCTCACCCACCGCGGGTGGTTCTTATCCTCTGAGGTCGGGTCCTCTACCAGAGGCCTGGGAGCTTGAGGGTCCTGCAGTATCTTGGCTGTGCCAAGGACTGCTGCACATTTCTGGACTGATATATATATATATATATATATATATATATATATATATATATATATATATATATATATATATTGCCTTCAATCTAAATAATAATATAAATAATATAAATAAGTCATCAAAATTGATCTGATCAGACCAAAACTGAGTTTCAATATTGAGTGAATTAAAACATTTAAACTACATATGTGAGCAAAAGGCTAATTTTCAACATACATAATGCTGAATAAGATCCTCCATCACTTTTAATCTTGTTAAAGCAGCAGTAGCCCACAAAGCAACATAAAAATCAAGTGATATTTTCCATACTTGTCAGTTAAAATACCCAGATGGACGTTAGTGACTTCATATTTCTATTTTTGAACCAGAAGTAAAATCCAATACTTTAGGATAACAAGTGGATACAACCAAACTGATTTTCTCACTTTTAGATTAGAACCTAGTTAATCCAGATTCAGAGCAACTTCCTGTCCTCTCAGCAGGTGTTTGGCACATTTCCTGAATCTTCAGGTCAATTGTCTGCAAGGCCTCACTGACAGGAACCAAAGGAAACAGCTGAGACTTCATGCACTGTCCTTCATCAACAGCACTTTGCAAACTTCTCACCGCCACATATCAACATGTCGGTGTTACAAACACGGACGTCTTGAATCAGACCAACAAGGTAATACATGAATGGAAAATTATTTAATTCTAAAAACGTCTGACAGCATAAAGAAACTGACTCCCTTCAGACATCACCTAATTAGAGTGATCCAGTGTTGAATGCAGTCTTAACTGGACTGGGCACTCAGAGCATTTATTAGAAATGATAACTCTGGAGGATCTGCAGGAATCAGCAGCTCAGGTGAGAGAACCTGGACAACTATAAGTGTAAAACTTCAGACTTTTATGGAACAGGAGCAAAAAGAAAGTTAGAAAAAGTTCTGCTTTCAGTTTATCACAGCCAGGATGGACACATGGTGAACGAGGAGGTGAGGTGCAAAACTTCACCATGAACATCCCCACCAGGAAACATGGAGGTGGCAGTATCATACTTTGGGGAGGCTTTCATCAGCAGAAGCAGCTCAGAGTTCATGATGACAAACCGGATCAAAACCCAGGAAAATACAGGAAGTATCACTGTTGGAGAAAGACTTCAGACCTGGGAGGAGATTCTCCCAGCAGGTCTTTGACCCCAAACATACAGCCGAAGGCAAGGGATATTTAGGTGTTAAAAAGGCCTAGTCAAAGCTCAGTGTTTTAAATAGATGTTCTCAAAAGCTTTTCATCCAATCTGACGGAGTTTTAAACTAATTTGCAAAGAAGAATCTGCCAGAAAGCGTCTGCAGGTGAGAGAAACTGTTTCATCCCAAAGTTCACAAACTTTCACTCGACGTGATGTTGATCCATCACAAAGACTTGGAATAAAATACTGACTGTTATGTTTGTAATGTGACAACATAAAGACATTTCCGGGGTCTGAAGATGTTTTCAAGGTGCGGTACATGGAAAAGCTTTGTTTGGCTCTAACATTATAAATGTTCTACCAAGGTCCGCCTGCGTTGCCTCAGAAGCTGCGAAAGCATCAATCAGGCGTTTCCATGTGTCTGGTCCAAGCCAGCCGCACCGCCCTGCAGCAGCTGCAGCAGCTGCAGCAGCTCCACTTCTGCTGCTGCGCTCCTGCAGCACGTCCTAATGAGCCGGGATGAAGACGGCGCCTCACTGCAGCAGGTCACATTGACCCAGATGTGTCACCAACCTTTGCAGGCCTTGAGCTCCACAGACCACATTAAGTATTCAAGCAGTCGCCCTCATCTCCTCCTGCCCACTGAAACGCTCTTAATGCTTCGCCCTGCTTCCATCTGTCTGTTGTTTTCCAGCTGCCACACTCCTGGACTTCCCCTGTAAAGCAGCTGGATCTCATTCCAGGTCCCACTTTTCTATGTGGGTCTCGATGAGCTCCGATTGGCCTCCTGCGGTTATTCCAGGACCGCCGGCAGCCTCGATGCCATCCACACACACGGCTTTATCTTTATCGGCTGACGGCTGGGGGCCGGCTGTGGGAAGGAGGTTATGGAGCACGGAGCTTTTTACAAACTGGCAGGTGTCATCAGTATTAGCAGAGGCAACAAACATGAAGGCTTAAATTAATCCTGACAACTCAAAGTTTCTGTAAAAACCAAAATAAAAGCAGAATATTTCAGTAGAAAACCTGCTTTGTGCCATAAATCAGCTTTTTGAGAACAATAGATCAAAAACTTTGAAATAGCTGAGTTATATTTTATAACAGTGTCTATTTTTAGTACATTTGTTATTAAAATACACAAAGTTTCAACATAGACGTTTCCTTCAAAACACGAAGGGGAAACGGGAAAAATGAAAACCTGTACACAGCGTCTCCTGCTTTCGGCAGAGCTCAGTTTGCATCATCCGGCTCCAACATGCACAGGTGTAAAGCTCCAAACCATCGGGATCCAAACGCAAAATCAAAACAAAAGTGAGATCAAATCCATGATGGGAGCTGGAGGAACGGATCCAGTCCAGAGTTCAGACGATGTATGTGGGGAGTTCTGTGGAGAATTTCACATGTACATGAGGTTTCACACATCCTGAGGGGAGAGCAGAGCAGAGCAGGCAGAACACACATTAAACCAAAGCATCATCACATACACGGTCAAAATCATTCATTAGATGTTTGTCGTGGTCTGGGGAATGTTCTGATTTTAAATATGCTTTTATGATCTGTAGATAATAAAAATGAACAGAAATACATCGTTGAAAACATCCAACCTTGTCAAAAAATGATCAATAATCAGATTCATTTACCATGAAGTTACTGGAATAAATAAACTTTTCAGTAATATTCCAGTAATAATCATCGTCTTGCTTAACTTTGATTTGATTGCAGTAAATTTGTGCAGCGTTGCAGACGGTTCAGTGGAACATGACTTCAAACATTTCCAAAAAATAAAAAGTGAATTATACATTGTTTTGCTAAATATTTCTGAGAGGTTCAATGCTAGTTGGAAAGTTGTTGGCACATTTCAGGCATGTTTAAGGTAAAATCTCCAAATATTGCTTCCTTTAAATTCATAAATTCAACAGAAATTCTGTTAAATATGAGGTCGAGATCTGTGCAGCTCCACAGGTCCGGTTCACACTCAGGAGTGAATTTCCAGACACCAGAAGTTTTTATGCTCTTCTGTTCTCTTCATGCAGATAAAGCCTGGGAATGTCCAGCCATCGTAACGCTCAGGAAGAGACGAGCTCTGCATCCCAGACATGGAGATGTTCTGCTGTGAAATGTGTGAGTTAAACCCAGATTGGACCCAAAAGGCTATAGCTGTTATCATCTGCAGTCCCACGTCAACATGGTCTGAGGGGCCATTCAGAGAAGAAGAAGATGTTAAGACAACATCAAAATCACATCACAGTTTGGTCATTTACTCCGGGTCCTGGTCCTGGTTCTGGCGAGGCGGAAGCATCAGAACCAGGACAGCTGGAGCTCAATGACTGTTTGGAGTTTTCTGTGGATGTCACAAATTTTCAGAAGACGGTTGAGATGAACTGAGCTGAATCAGTTTGGGCTAAAATAAAGTGAAGAGAGTTTTTGGTTTTGATTTCTGCAGGATCATCTAAAAAAATGTGACCTAATGGCAGAAAAACTGAAATAAAACATTTTGTGAAATGTTGCTCATGACTGAATCTCAGAGACACAATCAACTCTTCACAGGAAGAACTGATGGATGATGAACAGGAGGGGAAAGTTATGACCGTTTCTTTATTTTTATCCATAGAAATAAAAATATGTGGCCCTGTCTATTACAAAATTAATCACATTGTATTTTTGAAGATTGTTTTTAGCAGTAACCATATCGGCCCTGGATCTGCATGAAATGGTTGGTTTCTGCTTGACGATGTTCAGCAGCTGACAGTGGAAAACGACTGGAGGTTCATACGCTGCTAAGAAAAATAATAAAACCAGGATTTCAAAAAAATAAAATAAAAACAGAGAGGAAAAAGGGAAACAGAGTCCATTCATAACCCAGTTTTCTCTGAGAGGTGAGTAGATTATCAACCAGTTAGCATATTAGCTTAGCTTAGCTACAGGCTGTTAGCCTCTATTTCACTGGCATTTAATGAATTTATAAAGTGTAAAAAGGTGAGTCAGTCAGCAGCAGCTCCAGTCCCTCCTGTTCTTCCTCTCCTGAGTGAAATTAAAGCTGCAGACTGGAACTTTTATATTAATATTTGTTTTCACATATTTGTTAAAACTCTCATTATGTTGTGACAGTATGCTATGAGAGATAATCTGTGAAAAAGCCTTTTCCTCTGCCTTCTCCCAGTGCTACATAGAAACAACCAGTCAGTGGCAGGAGAGTGTTAGCGCTGTCAATCACAATCTCCTGTGGTGCTGCTCATCCTCCCCCCTTGCTGCATGCTATCCTGCAGCTAGCATAGCCAGTTGTGAGTGCTCAGTCTAATTAGCATAGCTACCAGTAACGGCAGATAAACGGGATAAATAAAATATTTTGGAATTGAATTGAATGTGGTTTTAGAAAGGCAGCGAAAAAGAAAGAAAGTGACTCAAATGCTGTAATAAAAGCAAATAATTCATTAATTAACGAGAAACAAAACTAAAGAAAATATTTAAAAAGTTAAAATGTAGTTAAAAAATGAAACTTTTGTTTCTTGTAAATCCAAAAAACCAAAAGTTGAGATTAAAATAAACACATAAATAAATAATAACTGACAGAATCAATAAACACTCGTTTTCAAAATTAATTTTGTGATTTTAAATAAGAAGTGTTGGCACTTATGTTGTTCCGTATTAATGTGAGGTTCTGATGTTGACCGGTTCGGAGAGGACAGCGTGTGGACCGTACCACTAACAGCCACTGATCTGTTTGTGTCTACTGCTCCTGCAGCCTGGACCACTTCACTGAGAAACAACAGAAAGCACAGGATGAGCCACAGGATGGGGTGAAACAGCCGGGAGGTGAGATGGGAGGCTCGGATGAGGTCAAAGGTCACTCACCGATGGGCCGCGAGTTCAACTCGGTGTCCAGAATCTCCAGAGAAGGAACCAAGTCCTGCGGTGAGCTGGGCGTGGCCTCTGAGGGATTGGCTGGACTCATCATTTCTGGCTCTTTGTCGTTCTGCATCTGCGCATAGACGTTGAAGCCTGGGATCTTCCTTGAGGAAAGATTTACAGTGAGGCAGACGGAAAGAGAGAGGAAACTCCCGCGAACACATGATGGATCGGACTGGTTTTAGAAACCTTTAGCCGAATGTTTGCTCCATGTCAACCAGCGTGTGGATGGGATTCAGCAGATATAAAAGCTGTTAAGGCTGATAAATGTTTCATTTTGCTTCTGCTGGTCTATTAATCTTCATGACCCTTCACATGATTTTCGCTCTGAACGCCACCTCAGCAAGGAAACCTGGTTTAACATTTCAGAAAGGTCAGCCGCCTCCATCTAAAGGCCTTCATCCTGAAAGCGGCTGACTGACATTTCTTCTTGTGAGCGATGACCTGATCAGCAGCTGTCAGCCGTTTGTGTGTCGAGCTTCAGGAAAACTTTACCTCTTAAATTTGTAGATGACAAACACAGCTAAACCCGCAACCACTACAGAGAGCAGCATTAGCATGGCAGAGCCACTGTGGTTCTCGCTGGTGTCCACCAGGGGCGCTGCAGAGACAGGGAGACAGCCACCGCAGCGCGTGAACACAGCAGAGTTAGACGAGGTGTATTAGCAGCCTGCTGCCTCATGCAACGAGCAGAAATGAACAGAAATGAGACCCATGTGATGAATCGGTTTAATATATGGACTTCTCTTACTCTTTAGCTTAAAAGCCCCTTTAGGACAGTAGCAGCATCCCCAAAAGGAAGAGGCACACATACGTCTCTGAATGTCTCTGTGTAGCTACATGGTGGGAGCCAATCAGACACAGGGGTGGAGTTATTAGTCGAGAGGGGGTGGGGCAATAAAAATATGAAATATAAACCTGACTGTCCGCTGAGCCTGGCCACATGCTTCATGTTTGTGCTGAAGGTTCATGGTGAGCAGGCGGACGGCGGCCTTACCTGCCGACAGGTGAGCGGCGTACACGGTGACCTGGACCCCCGGCCGCAGCGTGAACTGGACCAGGTTCTGATTCAAGGCGTTCAGCAGGAGGTCAGAGAGCTGGCGACAGAAAACACATGACCTGGGCTGAGTGCTATGGAAACACACCTGTCACAATTTAATGCTTCATATCCATCAATACATCACCAGGTGAAACAAATAGTTAGTTATTTTATTTTAAAGATTTACTTTTAAAAGCTAAACAAGCGTTTTGGATAAAAGAGGCAGAAGAACGTTAAGCATCTCAGAAAAACTCAACAAATATGAAAATATTCTTTTGCTGATGTCACATAAATACAATAGGTATTGAAATACAAATTCTTAAAATATCTTCTTTGCCATATTGAATTTTGCTATTTAAAGAACAAATAATGTCTCTATTGAGCCTTTCTTTGATGTTTATCAACCAGCAGCTCCATTACTGATTTTCTGTATTTTGTTTGTTTCAACCACAAACGTTGATATATTTTTATGGCTTATGGTAATTTCAGTGAAATAGTTGAGGGTGTATTGGACCTTAATTACGGGTCCATTAGGATTCAGTCGGATGGCAACAGGAAACTGGAATGTTGAGAAGATTGAATCTCTCCACAGAGATGTGATGCTATTGTTTGTGTCCCTGCAACACCTGAGATGCAATTTATGCAATTTTAGATGAAAGGAAATATCATCACCCAGCATGTTGTCTAAAACAAGAATTTACATTGTTTTCATCATATGGACTCAGTCACAGCAGTAGATGGATGCAATTTCACACACTGTACATAAAGTGTCTTCAGTTCAGATGATGAAGGAGTGTTGCATCGTCACAAACCAGAGAACTGCATTAAAGTGTGATCTGCAGGCTCTTTGTAACCAGCCAGCGCTAGGAGACAATGTGTTCCCATTTATTTAGACGAATCAATGAGAAACGGTAACACAGTCTGGCTCACAGGAAAATAATAGTTTAGCTCCCATAACACCAGATGCAGAATCTGAGTGAAATGACTGAAAAGTGAAAGATAAAAACAGTTTGGAGAAAAAAGAAATGAATGATGTGATGAAAAGGCTCGGCTCTCCTGACTATTGTTTTTATTCGAGTTTGAAACAAAATCAAAAGTTCAGAGTTTCTACACATTAACCTCTTCAAACTTCATAAGCAAGTTCTATCAGATCAGCACACTCTTCTGTAACAAAGGGAGGTTAAAACCCATGGCATCAATAACGCTCCAGTACCAAGAAACTCAAAGAACTGACCCGTAACTTCAAACTCACAGTTTCTGTAAGTTTAAAGTTTGCAGGAGAAATGCAGAGTTTCAGCAAACAGCTCATTAGGAATCAGTTTACTGTGTGGATCTTATGTTAACTAGAGGATTCAAATGGTAAATGGACTGGAATCGAACCTACAACCTTCCGATCTCAAGTGCCATACAGCCACAGTTGCCCTCAAACACTATTGGGAGGTTCTAATTATTATTGGACTAATTCATTTAAATTTTTGAATTTATTTTATTTGAATGGAATAAGGAATGAATGAATGAATGAATGAATGAATGAATGAATGAATGAATGAATGAATGTGCAGAAATTGTAGTAAATACTGGGGATTTAGCAAGATGCTAATTTCTATCCGCAGTTCCAAAGGAAACTCACCTGTTGATGCTGAATTTCCGACTCATGCAGTGTTCATGAAAACAACTTAAAACTAAAAACAGCCTCCACAAATCTGTTTTGGTTTTTTTCAGAGAAGGTCAAATGAAGTGGATAAAAACGTGCAGCACAACCTTTTTCAGCTCTGACCTTGAGAATGTTCCTGCAGCCTCTGAAATTATCATAACGCTGAATGCACTTTAAATACGGAGCTTATCAGCGCGGCCCTGACCTGCCCACACATGTGAACGCAGCTCCTGTAAGAGTCTTTGTCTGCAGGACCTTTTCCTCCATGATGCATAATGCAACGCAGGCAGATTGATCTCTGCTTTCAGACAGATGACCTGGGATCCAGCCTCGGAAGATTTCCACGACCCAGAGCTAAACTGGAGAACCATCCCAGCTGATCCACACAGACAGATCTCTTCACCGGAGCTTCTACACAATCTACAAACCAAATGTTGCTGTTTTCAAATCATCTTCATAAAAGAAGCCAATAAGGAGCTGCATGATTAAAGCAAACACTTCCTCTCTCTCTGCTGCAGAGACTTCATTTATCTTATCTGCCTCATTTGCTAAATTAATTGTGATATGAGTAATTCCTGTACTCCTTCATGCTCTCCTCTGTGCTGTTTAAATTTAGTCCGTGCTTTGACTAATTACTTTCTCACTGTTTGCATACCAGGGTCAGTGAAATCTGTTTTACATTCTAACAAGCGGAGCCAACTCTGCACTTTAAGGACGCCAGCCTTGAATGAAGATTTATGGCTGGTTTGGAGGGAGGTGGAACTTTCCAGAAGATCAAGCAGGAGGGAGGAAGAAGGGGAAAAATGGAGGATTTCTATCCATGGATTCTTCCCGGCATTAACATCGATCATCATCCGTTAGGTTAGACCGAGCAGCTCTGCTTCATGTCGATTGATGCTGAACATTTCTTTCTCTGCTCCCCCCAACATCATGTAAGTTTAAAAGTCAGTCCTTTCACTCATAATACTTGTCAGGCTTATTGATTAGTCGATTCTTCAAGCATTTTCCAAAATTAGACTCCCAGAAAAAAAAATTCTCCAGCAGATTGATAGTGACCTCTGCTGGTGGCGAACAGGAACTTGAAGCTGCAGGTTTAAATTTTCAGGAGCCATTACTGGACAAGCTGCCGCTATGAAAAGACTCTCAGTGAGTCACAAAGCAGCAACATACGATCCACAGCCGTGTGTTGTGTTAAAGTCAGAGCGAGGATAACAAGGTGACATCGATCCGCCCACAGAGGCTGGAGGACGCCGCCGCCTCACCTGATCTAAATGAGCCGAGCTCTTCTCTGCTTTCCCCTCGGTGAGCTGCTTGTCAGGCAGCAGGAAAAACTCGGCTGCTGTTGGTAAACCTGGCAGGACGGTGACCAGGAGCAGGTCCTCCCGTACGCCTGTCGCCTGCAAGGAGATGAGAGACAGGAGCTGCTGAGATCAGAGCCTCAGATTAAAACCCGCTGGGCTTCATCAGACGACAGATGGAACCGAACCACCCTGTGAAATCATGACTCATCTGTCCCTATTATTAAACAAAATATCTGTGCCCCAAAAACAGCTGAAAAGGTTTTAGATGTATTTTTAGACATCTGAATTATTTAAATTCAACTGCTGAGGGAGATGGAGCAGAAAACGAGTTTATGAGAACTGAAGGCTTTTAATGAGGCATGCAGTTCAGGAACCAGGTGGAACTCGCGTTATATTTGTAATAAAATCCATTTTGATCAGCAGCATGAGAGGAATCAGTGATTGGAAACACATATTTAAATCATCATGTAAAGGTGAGACACTGCCAACAAAAATGTCTTCATAAAATCTGCTAAAATGACATCCTAAAAATATAATGAAACAAAATATAAATTTATAAATTAAAACATGCAAACAATCATATATTTAGATACAGACATCAACAAGTTTTTACTTGTGGGAACCAGTGAAGAAGTTACATTTTTGCAGACTTTGAATGACAAAACATACATAGCGCCATCTGGTGGACAAATCTAAAATGTTAACAACTAACAGTTCAAAATAAGATTACCCTAAGCCCATTCCTAACCCAAGCAGCAACTGCCACTTCGTCCGCCATTGCTCTAAAAATGATGGCTGACAATGAATCTTGGGTTGAGCAGGCAGAGGAGGACACTCCTTTGAACCTGAACAGCTTTTGTGTCATCGCTGTGACATAATCGGAGTTTCGACTCTCCCTTAATGAAACTGGATCCCAGGAGGAATCTAAAAAGAAGGGGTGGTCATAAGCAAGGTTTGTAATTATTCAGTTCAAACAATAATTTCTGATTGTTGATTTTTTTTTCTAAGATTTTTACAGGTTTTCTGTGTTTCCTGTAAGTATGAAGGTAACTGACTGATTTTAAGTCAAAGAACTTTGTGAACTTCAGTTCTCAGTTAAATAATGTAAAAATGAGTAACTCTCCTTTTATATCAGTGTAAATAAATCAATAAAGAGATGAGGAAATGTCCCACTGCCTCCTGCAGGGGTCGCTGGTTCTTCCACTTCCCTCTGTGAGCTTCAGTGATCGCTCAACAGAGTCATCAAATCTGATTTTCATCTCAGTTATTCGTCTCGCTCCGTTCCGCCTTCAAGGCTGAGGTTGTCACCAGGAATAAAAATAAAAAAAAACATAAAAATAATCATGTCAGAAAGAAATAACAAGCCGGGCGTGTTCAGTGAAGATTGGAGAGATGGATGTATTTCTGGCATCAATTTTGATTTTGCAGGATCAAAAAAGTGTGAAAGGATGATGATGCAAGAGGCAGAGAGCTGCTTCCGAAGAAACAGAAATATATCAGAATCCTGAGGAAGTGTCAAGAACCGGTTAATGAGTCCGACGGTCTCTGACAAGCCGTGGGGGGTTAGGGCATGTCAGAGCTGGAATCATTTCTTCCACCTCACAGTTTATGTTTGGCTCATCTGCCAGCGTCTCCTCGGGTCACCGCTGGACCAGGAGTTCTGATGTTTATTGGGTCCGGTCCTGAACTCTCACACTGTTCACCTGCTGCAGTATTACTTCCACCTCCCCAGTTCTCCTTCTGACCGTTTATCAAGGTAAAAGTCCAACCTGTACGGAGCTGAGCAGCAGAAAGCAGCAGCTTCACCTGGATCAGAGCGTTCCGGATCACCCGGCTCACATCCTGCCGCCACTCAGCCACGTCCGGGTTGTGTTCGTCCAGGTTGGAGGAGAAGGCCAGCAGGTGGGATCGGAAATATTCTGCACGAAGCAAACATAACGTGAAGATTTATCACTGATGGCTTTTAGCTTCAGCTTATCATGAAGAAACATTTTGCTAAAGGAAATTATCAGCTTTTTTTTTTAATTCAGGTCTAGGTGTCACAGATACAATTTTGCAGCCAGAAATATTTCCAGACTCTCTTTCTTATAAGTGAGCAAAAAGCAAAGGAGCCCTGAGTTAGCCAGCTAGCTTAGCAGCGTGTGGAGCAACAAGTGAGGGAGGGGCAGCGCTGCATTCCTGCTTTTTATCAGACATTAGACTGTTTACACTGTAATCACTGAAGCCTGTAGATCAGTGGCTCTCATAACGACAAGCAGTTGGACTGTGTGACGTGGTGGTGGCGCCTCCTGCTGACAGAGAGGCAGCTTGTTGTTGTGACATCTTGTGAGCTTGTTCAGAGTCTCAACTCACCGTGGACAGCGATAGTTTTCCTGTCCTGCAGGATGGTGCTCCCAGCAGACACCTGCAACGTGACAGTATTGATCCCCTCCCTGGAGAACGTGCACGCCACGCTTCCCTCCAGGGTGATAACAGGCTGCTGGAGAACACACACACACACACACACACACACACACACACACACACACACACACACACACACACACACACACACACACACACACACACACACAGAGCCAGTCAGTCCGAGCGTTCCCCTGAGAGTCGGCCATCAGCAGCCGGCTAACCTGGTTCTGTAAGGAAACCAGCAGGACGGACTGACATCAGAACCAACGACTCTGTTCATCCTTCAGGCCTCAGTTTGACACCAGCTGACAGAACCGGCCGCCTCATCCCAACACAAACACTTTCACACAACAGAGAGGCGGACAGCCGGAGCGGTCCGCTTGACTTGGGCCACACGTTCTGGTTCTGGATTACTTGATGCACCAACTGTTTGATTGGAGGTTTTTCTTCTAAACACAAAATTTAAATTTAAATTGATTTCAGTTATTAAAGGAATAAAACTATCCAAACCGACTTTTCCCAAATAATTTTCTGTTGGATTTTATGATGATCTCATCACAGGTCCACCATGTCCACCCGGTACCATCAGGTCCACCCGGTACCACCCGGTACCACCCAGTACCACCCGGTACCACCAGATCCACCAGGTCCACCCGGTACCACCAGATCCACCCAGTACCACCCAGTACCACCCGGTACCACCAGGTCCACCCGGTACCATCAGGTCCACCAGGTCCACCCGGTACCACCCGGTACCACCAGGTCCACCAGGTCCACCCGGTACCACCAGATCCACCATGTCCACCCGGTACCACTTGATCCACCCAGTACCACCCAGTACCACCCAGTACCACCCGGTACCACCAGGTCCACCCGGTACCACCCAGTACCACCTGGTACCACCAGGTCCACCAGGTACCACCCAGTACCACCCGGTACCACCCGGTACCACCAGGTCCACCAGGTCCACCAGATCCACCCAGTACCACCCAGTACCACCCAGTACCACCCAGTACCACCAGGTCCACCAGATCCACCATGTCCACCCGGTACCACTTGATCCACCCAGTACCACCCAGTACCACCCAGTACCACCCAGTACCACCAGGTCCACCAGATCCACCATGTCCACCCGGTACCACTTGATCCACCCGGTACCACCCGGTACCACCCAGTACCACCCGGTACCACCCGGTACCACCAGATCCACCATGTCCACCCGGTACCACCAGGTCCACCAGGTCCACCCGGTACCACCTTCTCCTTCTGACTAATTTGCTATTTTCCTGAGGATCATCGATCTGGGAAACTCATTTATGCCAAAGTTTTAGCGTCTTAATGGAAGTTAATATTCTGCCTTCAGAACATTTTGTTCATGCACTTCCCAGAATTTGTCTCTTTCCTGAATGATGTGATGACTGGACATTCCCATCATGTGGATATTTGTGTGATTTGTCGCTAACACATCCCTCCTCCCATTATTGTGGCATTGATCAAATAGAAATCCTGCTGGTACTTCTAACTGACCTCCTTGGCGTCTGTAAGCCTCTGGTTCCAACATCCACTATGAGTTTTGCTGTTTTTGAAGACGAGCCGATGCCACACTTTATAAACCCAGAAGATGCTCCTGAGAGCTCGTTGCCAGCTGAAGCCATCAGGACGTTAAAACGGGTCAAAGAACCTCCACTCCGCTCCGCTCTGTATGCAGATGGCTTTAAGATTCTCCATAACTTAGCAATCGAGACACTTTAAGCTTGTGGTTCATCAGCACATTCTGCAACTGTTATCAGTGCTGATTAACAAGGCCCCGATTTTCTGCAGCCGGTGCCAACAAATATAGCTGCACAGAACAACAGAGTCAGCAACCTACTTCTTAATTACAACCGGACACAGAGCGCCGCATCGGGAGCGCGTTCACCGTACCTCCGTGTTATTTCCGATCCACCAGATGTAGGTGACCGTTCCCACTTGGCTGGGATGCAGAACGGCGGTCAGGTTCACTTCCTTGTTCCTCACGGCCACAAAGGGAGCAGAGAGATGGATATGCTCCAGCTGACCTGCTCAGACACACACATGCATCACAGAGTGAACTCCACGCTCTGCTGCTACAAGGAAAAACTCACAAACAACTTTACTAGCTCAAATGAAGACAAGAAATTAGCCCATAATTCTCTGCTGCATCTGAACCAATAGCTGCCATCTGTGGGTTATTTTCCTCTGCTGCCCTCTGGGTCTGCAGTGACTCTGTGAGCCTGGCTGTCACATACGGCGGCGGCGGCGGGGTTGAGGGCGGCGCGGGGGGCAGCGGCATGGGGGCGGCGCGGGGGCGAGGCGCTCCCTGATCAGTTATTCTGTTCCTTTTATATCTTTTGTGGAGCAGAATTTGTCAGGACTCATCCATACGAGGCAGCAGCTGACTGGAGAGGAAGCATAATGAGGTTTGTTCTATCTCTGTTTGTGTGTTCGATTGTGGACGGGTTCTGAGGAGATAAAGCCCGAACGCGGTGAAGTGACAGCAGCAATTCCACACAAGGTGATAAAGAGTGGGAAAAGAGGAAGATTAGAAAAATGGAGGACAGTCCTCTGTGAATGAAAGCAGAGGTTTCTTGTTGTTGTTGTGACTTTTGAATAAAACTCACATGTGACGTGCAGGAAGAGCGTGGCGGTCTCAGAACCGAGGCTGTTCTCCCCGGTGGCCGTCACCCGGTAGATTCCCACGGATTTGTAGATGTGCTTGATGCCGTCCTCGATGGAGCTCACGTTGGAGTAGGTCAGAGCGTGACCATCTCCAAAGTCCAGCGTGATGCTGGTCCTCGCTCCGTCTCCCTGCACAGGACAAACACGTCAATCTGCAGGACTTCAGGTTTTCCTCACAACATCAACACATCTGGAGGCTGCAGGCAGATTTACTTTGCTTTAAAAACAGAGCCTGTAAGACTGCCTGGTGGATCGCATAGATAATAGGACATTTTGTAATTTACCATAACTCTGTATTCACGTTATTCTGAGAAACCCAGTCAGAGAGGTTTGGACTGGTTCTCCTGTTTTTAACTGGGTCCAGATTGACAGCAGAACCAACCGATATCTCCGGTATGATATCAGTGATCCTGAGCTGTAACTGTACTAATGACCTGAGTCGTGCTCACTATTCCAGCAAAGCCAGCAGAACAAACGTAAAACGTGACGCTGTGTTTGCACTCGATCAGTCTGAACGTTTCTTGCATCTGAAATGGAAGAAATGAATCTTCCTGTTGATTTTTCTGCTTTTCAGACGAGGCTTTCACTGAAGCTTCGTCACGAAAGAGTTCAACTGAAACAAAAACTGATTTTTGAACCTATGATTATAAAAAATGTTTTTAATCTTTATGAAATTACAGGCTCTACTCAATATGAGCCAATAACTTGATTTATTTTGTTTAAACAAAGAATAAACTTTATTTTTTATTAGAATATGTTCAGCAAAGTTACAGTTTCTTTCCAGTAAAACAATCATAAATTATTCTGATTCTCTCCTGAGCAAAAAGAGAACGTTCTCCTCTTCCGAAACGTTTGGGTTCATTCTTTGTTCTGAACCAGAACACGAACAGAACCGATGGACACCAAGTGAGAAATAGCATCATTTCAGTTTTGGTCTCCACAGAAACGGCTGAGCCAGAACATTTTCTTGGACGTGATGAAGCGCTGGACACCGTGGTGGACATTCACAGATTGATGTTATAATCGTACAACGTTTATTTAAATTCCCTCCTCTGCTGGATGAAAGGACTCAGCAGCTGGTGAGACTGGATGCGCTCACCTCCTCCAGGAAAACCAGGAAGGTGACGTTGGCGCCCAGCGTGGCGGCCAGCCGGCCCTCGCTGGTGACCAGGTGGAGGCCTTTGGGAGCCTGGACGGGGCAGGGCTGCTGCCGGGCCGTGTACTCTGCTATCACTCCAGCTGTGCAGTTATTGGACACCACCTTCCTGTAGCTGAGGGTGGAGGACAGACACCATCTGACCACGTTCACATGGGAACTAAAATCTCTATGTGGTTCTGTTCAAACATTCTTCATCCATTTAAATTACATTTTCTTGGCTTTGAAAGGTCATTTAACTGGAAACTAACTTATTTCAACCAAAAACTCTCTTACTTACCCATAAACTCTTATTTAGTCATTAAATAACTTAAAAAACTAAAAAAAAAATATTTTCAACCCTAACTGCTTTGTAACATGAAGCTAAACATTAATTCAATAATTAACTCTTCATTTATCTGAAAAACTGGTTCTTATTTCACCACTGACTATGAACTAACTCCTAGTTAACCATTAACTAGCTCCTATTTAATCATAACTAACTCTTATTTAACTATTAACTAACAAGGCTCCATGTTGTTTTCTGTTTGTTACTCAGATTTGAGTTTTTTAAATATCACCAGCTTATAATGAACATGTCAGATCATGAGCCTTAAAATAAACGTTATATTTTCATTTGATCATTTTCCTTTGAACAGGTTCCTGCTTTACACTGTTTAGAAAATTGAACATTACTCATTTAAAATGTAAATATAAATCTATCATCTTCAAATATGAGTAAAAAGACATTTAAGATCCGATAGGACTCTGACTTCCTGTCGGTTGTTTTCACAGCATGATTATTCAGTAAACTTCACCTCAGTTGATTTTCCCTCACATTGTTTCCTTTCTTCCTGGTTTTCCTGCCAACATGTTCTGTTTACTACAGTTTGTCCTTCTGACTGTTTGCTTTAGTTAGAAACAAACTTTTTTCCGCTGTCCTTGTCGCTGCTGCTCTGTAACTCTTTACGGCGCCGTCAGCTGAACAGGTTTTGTGTTATGAATTTGTTGAACGCTCAGTTTCCTTGTTTTGCAGACATCAATCAGACACATCAGGAAACGGATGTCCTGGTCCTGCAGGGCTGATGTTTCTCTGCTTTAGCACACCTGATCCGAATAATTACTACATTACTGCAGAGCCTGACAACATGCTGAGGATGCAATCAGTCGGTGTGTGTTGGTCCAGGTACCAACACACTAAAGCTGCAGGACAAAAACCCTTCAGGGCTGCAATTTCACATGGTGGTTTGGATTTTCTCTCTATTTTGGGCTTCAGATAAAATTCTGTTCAAAAGTTTTTCAACTCTTGTGTTTCATTGATCTCAGACTTTTAGTTGTGATGTTCTAATTAACTAACTAATCAACTTCCTGATTCTGCTCTGACACTCGTCCCGCTGCATCCCGTCATGTTTACCCGGTGCTGTTGAGGAAAGTCATTCCGGTGGTGCAGCTGCGGGACATGGAGGACGGATGGAACCAGAAGGCCGGGCTGCACTTCCCATCAGTCCGCCTCTCAAAGCCATAATCGCTGCGATGAAACCAACAGAGATCCAATCAGAAACAACCAACATCTGAAATCCATGATAAGGTTAAGTTTGCATTCTAGTAAAACTTATTGTACAAATTATTTTAATTAAATTAGGACATTTTCAAAATGTGCAAGAGATTTCACACAGAAGAACTCATGATGTAATCGAATACAAAATCATTTCCAAATAATTTTAAAACCAGACAGAAAATTATTCACAAACATTTAACAAAGTGTCTGTGCATCCTTAAAATGTCTTAAATTCATTCAAAGGCAATTTGGCCTTAAAAAAGTTAAACACAGATATTAAATTTGATCTTGGAACGATTTAATCTAAGTTGTTTTTTGTAGTGAGATTTTCCTGCAACGCAAACATTAGAACCTCAGAGACATTTTCATCGTCACAGAACCGTTAAGGCAATAGGCTGATTGTATACCTGGCTACGTAGCTACCTGGCTACCTGGCTACGTAGCTACCTCGCTACCTGGCTACGTAGCTACCTCGCTACCTGGCTACGTAGCTACCTGGCTACCTGGCTACGTAGCTACCTCGCTACCTGGCTACGTAGCTACATGGCTATGTAGCTACCTGGCTACCTGGCTACGTAGCTACCTGGCTACGTAGCTACCTGGCTACCTGGCTACGTAGCTACCTCGCTACCTGGCTACGTAGCTACCTGGCTATGTAGCTACCTGGCTACCTGGCTACGTAGCTACCTGGCTACCTGGCTACGTAGCTACCTGGCTATGTAGCTACCTGGCTATGTAGCTACCTGGCTACCTGGCTACGTAGCTACCTGGCTACCTGGCTATGTAGCTACCTCGCTACCTGGCTATGTAGCTACCTGGCTATGTAGCTACCTGGCTATGTAGCTACCTGGCTACCTGGCTATGTAGCAACCTACAACGTGCAAGCACACGAGCAGCAAACCAGCCAACACAAAACAATCAGACTTCACTTTTTTTCTTCTTTTTTAGGATTAAAAAAGAGACGCTTGCCATCACAGACTAGAAGTGAAAACAAGGGGCACCGAGTTTATACATCATATCATTAAAAACGGGAAGATTCGTTGCTTAAACTTTGTTCAGGAATGGAAACCTTTGAACTGCAACGAACTAAATGCCATGAAGAAAATGTGTCTCTATAAGAGCCTGCTGAAAGCAAAGCTGCTGTTATAATCAACATGTTTCTGATCATAAACGTGATGCTGAAGTCAGTGATGGTGAGGAACCCTCTGTGTTCAGGACTGCACATTCCAGCCTATTAGCTGCTTGTGCTACAAATTAAAAGGCAGAGCAGCTCTGTGTCCCCAAACTGATGGGGACAAATTGCCCCAATTAGAGCGACATGCACACAGATGCAGAAGTGTTGTGATTGTTAATGAAAGCTATTAGGCGCCGTGATTTATGGTTCTGATGAAGCTTATTGCAGGAGCCGCCTCCTCCAGAGGCCTGCAGATTTGGGACCAAAGCATGAAAAAATGAATGCAATTAAATAGTGAGAGAGAGCCGTTTTCATCTGGATGCAGATAAACCGACATCTTCCTGACATTGAGAGTCGCTGCTCCAAAAATGGCTGTGAAGGATCGTTTTATCTCTGAACACTTTGTCCTTCAAGCCGTGAACGATGGCAAACATTAAAGCAGAATCAATAAAATGTCTGAGAGTGAAAAACACGTTGGCTCCTCCACTTTTTCTCTTTCTCACACACAAACGCAGAAATATTCACACATTAGCGCAAACACCCTGAGATTGTGCCGAGGCTGATAAGCATTTCTAATCTGCAGGATGGCAACTATTTATCCCCTGATCCTGTTTTCTCACAAACTGAGACAGAAATCTGTTGGTCAATAACTGCAGAAGGTGTTTCACACGTTTCCAGAAATCTGATTTATTCACAGATATCAAGAGTTTGATCAGTGATGGAGGAGAAAAATGATTGTTAAATCTAAAGGCTTCAGAGGAAAAAGTCAAAAATAATATCTAAATTCATTAGGAGAGAAATGAAGTCAGAACGTTTTTAGGTGACTGAGAGGGCAGAACCCCAAACAGAACCCCAAACAGAACCCTGAACAGAACCCTGAACAGAACCATGAACAGAACCCCAAACAGAACCATGAACAGAACCCTGAACAGAACCCCAAACAGAACCATGAACAGAACCCCGAACAGAACCCCGAACAGAACCCTGAACAGAACCATGAACAGAACCCCGAACAGAACCATGGACAGAACCCCAAACAGAACCCCAAACAGAACCATGAACAGAACCCTGAACAGAACCCCAAACAGAACCCCAAACAGAACCATGAACAGAACCCCGAACAGAACCATGGACAGAACCCCAAACAGAACCCTGAACAGAACCATGGACAGAACCCCGAACAGAACCCCAAACAGAACCATGAACAGAACCCTGAACAGAACCCCGAACAGAACCCTGAACAGAACCCCGAACAGAACCCCGAACAGAACCTTGAACAGAACCATGAACAGAACCATGGACAGAACCCTGAACAGAACCCTGAACAGAACCCCGAACAGAACCCCGAACAGAACCCCGAACAGAACCTTGAACAGAACCATGAACAGAACCATGGACAGAACCCCAAACAGAACCATGAACAGAACCATGAACAGAACCCCAAACAGAACCCCGAACAGAACCTCGAACAGAACCATGAACAGAACCATGGACAGAACCCTGAACAGAACCCTGAACAGAACCCCGAACAGAACCCCGAACAGAACCTTGAACAGAACCATGAACAGAACCCTGAACAGAACCCCGAACAGAACCAAACAGAACCCCGAACAGAACCCCCAAAACACAACCCTGACAGAACAGAACGAGAACCTCAAACAGAACCATGACAGAACCATGAACAGAACCCTGAACAGAACCTCAAACAGAACCATGAACAGAACCCCAAACAGAACCCCGAACAGAACCATGAACAGAACCCCAAACAGAACCATGAACAGAACCCTGAACAGAACCCCAAACAGAACCCCAAACAGAACCATGAACAGAACCATGGACAGAACCCTGAACAGAACCCTGAACAGAACCCCGAACAGAACCCCGAACAGAACCCCGAACAGAACCTTGAACAGAACCATGAACAGAACCCTGAACAGAACCTCGAACAGAACCATGAACAGAACCCCGAACAGAACCCCGAACAGAACCCCAAACACAACCCTGAACAGAACCCTGAACAGAACCTCAAACAGAACCATGAACAGAACCATGGACAGAACCCTGAACAGAACCCCGAACAGAACCCCGAACAGAACCTTGAACAGAACCATGAACAGAACCCTGAACAGAACCTCGAACAGAACCATGAACAGAACCCTGAACAGAACCTCGAACAGAACCATGAACAGAACCCCGAACAGAACCCCGAACAGAACCCCAAACACAACCCTGAACAGAACCCCGAACAGAACCCTGAACAGAACCCCAAACAGAACCATGAACAGAACCCTGAACAGAACCCCAAACAGAACCCCGAACAGAACCCTGAACAGAACCCTGAACAGAACCCCAAACAGAACCATGAACAGAACCATGGACAGAACCCTGAACAGAACCATGAACAGAACCCCAAACAGAACCCCGAACAGAACCTTGAACAGAACCATGAACAGAACCCTGAACAGAACCTCGAACAGAACCATGAACAGAACCCCGAACACAACCCTGAACAGAACCCTGAACAGAACCTCAAACAGAACCATGAACAGAACCCTGAACAGAACCTCGAACAGAACCATGAACAGAACCCCGAACAGAACCCTGAACAGAACCCTGAACAGAACCCCAAACAGAACCATGAACAGAACCATGAACAGAACCCCAAACAGAACCATGAACAGAACCCTGAACAGAACCCCAAACAGAACCCCGAACAGAACCCTGAACAGAACCCCAAACAGAACCATGAACAGAACCATGAACAGAACCCCAAACAGAACCATGAACAGAACCCTGAACAGAACCCCAAACAGAACCATGAACAGAACCCTGAACAGAACCCCAAACAGAACCATGAACAGAACCATGGACAGAACCCTGAACAGAACCCTGAACAGAACCCCGAACAGAACCCCGAACAGAACCATGAACAGAACCCTGAACAGAACCCCAAACAGAACCATGAACAGAACCCTGAACAGAACCCCAAACAGAACCATGGACAGAACCCTGAACAGAACCCTGAACAGAACCCCGAACAGAACCCCGAACAGAACCTTGAACAGAACCATGAACAGAACCCTGAACAGAACCTCGAACAGAACCATGAACAGAACCCCGAACAGAACCCCAAACACAACCCTGAACAGAACCCTGAACAGAACCCCGAACAGAACCCCGAACAGAACCCCGAACAGAACCCCGAACAGAACCTCGAACAGAACCATGAACAGAACCCTGAACAGAACCTCGAACAGAACCATGAACAGAACCCCGAACAGAACCCCGAACAGAACCCTGAACAGAACCCCGAACAGAACCATGGACAGAACCCCGAACAGAACCTCAAACAGAACCATGGACAGAACCTCAAACAGAACCCCGAACAGAACCATGAACAGAACCCTGAACAGAACCCCAAACAGAACCATGAACAGAACCCTGAACAGAACCCCAAACAGAACCATGGACAGAACCCTGAACAGAACCCTGAACAGAACCCCGAACAGAACCCCGAACAGAACCTTGAACAGAACCATGAACAGAACCCTGAACAGAACCTCGAACAGAACCATGAACAGAACCCTGAACAGAACCCCGAACAGAACCCCGAACAGAACCCCGAACAGAACCCCGAACAGAACCTCGAACAGAACCATGAACAGAACCCTGAACAGAACCTCGAACAGAACCATGAACAGAACCCCGAACAGAACCCCGAACAGAACCCTGAACAGAACCCCGAACAGAACCATGGACAGAACCCGAACAGAACCTCAAACAGAACCATGGACAGAACCTCAAACAGAACCCCGAACAGAACCATGAACAGAACCATGGACAGAACCCTTCTCTTCAAACACTAAAGGGTCTCAAACCTCCAGATGTATTTATTTTTCATGTGGGGTTTTTCTCAGATCCATTTGAAGCTGATTGGGTTCTGGCTGGAATCTCCAACATTATTATTATTTATTTAGCAAATAAAATCCCAAAATAACCAAATGAAGCGTTGAGAATAAGGAAAGGTCATTGGATTGAAAACGGAGGTCAGCACTGACCACTCGAAGTCCGCCTCCGTGCAGTCGCAGGGAGCCGAGGTCATCGCCACGGAGTACGTCTTTCCCATGACGCACCTGGAGGTCGGCTTCAGCTTCCGGTAGATTCTCTTCACGCCCATCAGACACGGCTCGCCCTGCCGAGATCAGAAAACAGATCACAGGAAAATCATTTAAACGAAGCAAACAGAAATACACCAACATTATCTGTAACTCCAATCCTACTTGGGCTCCATTCTAGATTTATTCACTAATATTAATATAATCTGATAATGAACATGAATCTGCCAAACATTTCTAGATTTACTCTGAATCAGCTGAGGACTAAAAAAATGACCTGAGCGCCGGTTTCACTCGACATCCCGCCTCCATGCAGCAGGTGTCAGTAGTGAGATGTCACAGAAACCTGATACTATCGCATTCCAGGTTCTGGAAATGAAAAGCTGAAACTTCTCGGGTTCTGTCTCTTCCTCTGTTTGTTTTCTCTGCAGACGGCTCTCAGCCAGTCGGCTCCATAATTGGCCCGGACTCTTGTCATCTTCCATGCTTCCTGGCTTGATCATCAGCCCGCTCTGAACATATGGGTGTCTGATCCGTTTACAGAAGCGGGCCGTGAATAAAGGCTTGCTCTGAGTGTGCGGCTCGGTTTCAGGTCCAGTCAGGTTGATGAAAGAGCGGTGGAGGGTCAGGGTCCACTCTCACTCAGAGCATGGAGGGAAACGGCTGGAGCTAATATAGAACCAACTTTAATCCTCTTTAATACTCCTGGATGTTCAGCAGGATGGAGACGCATTAATAAGCTTAAAGTTATGTTTTCATTATGCACCTGTATTTAACCAGACTGATGTATTTACGCCTCCCATTTCCTGACAGTGGATGTTTTGACCGATAGTTCAACCTTTATCTTTTTGTTTTGCTCACGTTGTTTTGTTTCATCAGCAAAACCATTAAAGCAAAACTAAACCGACTCGTGGAAGCAAAACCAAAGTCAGAACAAACGTTTAATCCAGCAGGAAATCCCCTGTTGAAGTCCGAAGCCTCCAGGCTGCTGCAAGTTCCTCTGGGAAAATCTGTGCAAGAAATGCAAGTTTCCAGTTTGGACTCTGTTTTCTGAGTGAACTACATAATAATGCAAATTTTTTTCTGTGCTTTTCTGTATTTTTTCTGTTGTTACAGAAACATAAGCAGGGGAGTTTGGGAAGTTTTGGAGTTTTGGAGTTTGGGAAGTTTTGGAGTTTGGGAAGTTTTGGAGTTTTGGAGTTTTGGAGTTTGGGAGTTTGGGAGTTTGGGACTGAGCCTCCCGTTCTTCCCGTTCAGCCAGAACTCCCTGGAGGAATTAAGAAGTGTTTTCTTCTTGAAACTTTTATTTCTATCATCCATCTGTTCAAGGTTGAGTGACTTCAAAACAAGGTGCTGTTAAACAAAAGCATCCCCATAGCATGATGGTGCCACCACCATGCCTCTTACTGAGTGGCCCAGATCTCAGACAGGCTGTGACTCCGGGCCCAGAGAGGTGGGCTTATTTTATCTCCTTTTTAATGAATGCATGTCAGTCGGCTATCTGCCCATTTCACCCTCCAATAAATGTTTTATATTTCTGTTTTAAATCCATCTTTAAGAAATAAACATAATGAGTCATTTTAAAGTAAATTAAAGAGCAGAGTTTAATTGACTCTGGTCACAGTGGGATAAACAGAACGTGCTTCCAGAACCCGTTTTCTCCTCAGATCTTCATTTGGGTCTGGCAGCCATGATACCTGGTTGTGCAGGTGCCACGTCTGGTAGTCCGCCTCCGTGCATCTCCTGTTGAAGATGGACCTGAAGTCTATTTTCACCAGCTGCCACTCAGAGCGATGACTGAAGTGCCCAAAGATCCTGGAAACAAGTTGTGTAAAGAAAAAATCAAGTGAGGGATGGAGATCGATGGAACGATGTGTTAAAGGTGAGGCAGCAGAACCAACGTAGTGATTTAAATCTGCAGAAAAAGGTTGACTTCACATTAACCCTTCAAACATGTATTAATCCACAGTCCAAATAAAAATATTAATTTTCTCTTATTTAACATCCTGTTAAATTTGTGACAGATTTTGAGTAAACGCCTTCTCATTTAGAAGAGGTTATAAAAACAATGTTAGAGGCAGAGAGACGCTCTGGATGGAAACTACATGTAAAAACACAAACCGTCCAGAATGTGGATGTTTTTAAGGACAACCTGCTCATCATGAATGCAGTGGGATTCCAGCCATGGAGCGTTTCTGGAGTCCTTCCAACCCATTTTCAGTCCAAAAATGATCCTTTCTACTCACACACCACAAAATCTGCTTTCAAAGTCAAAATGAACAGCTAGTACAAAATTATTTGCAAAATTGTGGCTTTGAATGTTTGATTACTCTTAAATGCTTTTATTCTGCCTATCCTTAAATGATTCAATTAGAGCTCAGACTATTTTGTAATTGTTTTTGTGGATTTTTGCAGCTTTTTGTTCACAGGGTAGAGAACGTAGCTCAGTAAAACCTCCTATGATTTCACACTGAGGATATTTTCCAACTTCGTTTGGGATGTCTTGGGAAGAGCACAGTGAAGCCTTCTTGCAGTTTGAAGAGGCTGCTGGAATAAAGGCTCGGAAAAAAACTTCGCATAAGTTTGTAAGATTTGTAGCCTAATATTTGTAGAAGACAAAAGAAAAACATCTAGGGGAAAAAGGGAGTGATAAAGAGTTGTTCTTTTTCAGACAGGCTCGGTTAAAAGAGCTTTCGATTTTTTTGGTTTCTGCACAGCAGGACTGAAGAAAACATTCTGCTCCAAATACAAATGAGATCCTCATGCAGAAAGAAAAGCCTCCAGACAGACGACTTCTTCCGGCACAGACACGCATCCCTGCATCCACATTTATTTGTTGCCACCTTTCTCAAATCGGAAAATACAAACCAAACAAAAATAAGACAAAATGACGACTAATCTATCTTCATTATGAACGTTAATAAGAATAAATTCTCTTGTTTTTCTCTCACCAGATTCCAAATACAATTCAAGGTTATTAAACCGGCGAGGAGAATATTCCATCTCCAGCTGAATGAAGTGACTGCGTGTGTGTGTGTGTGTGTGTGTGTGGTGTGTGTGTGTGTGTGTGGGTGTGTGTGTGTGTGGGGGGGGGGGGAGGGGGTGTGTGTGTGGGGGGTGTGTGTGTGTGTGTGTGGGTGTGTGTGTGTGTGTGTGTGTGACCATATAGCAACATATTAATCACAATCTGTCAATTAGCACTGGAGGCATCCGACCATGACAGGCACTTACTGCAGAAATTAGTACAAATTGATAAGAAAGCAGTGCATGATGGTCTTATGAAAACTGATGGCCAAGAGGCTTAATGTTGCAGGACTTGTTCTCAGTATCTGCATTGTCTTTACAAAACTTCAAATTCCTGCCAAACAGAGTCAGACGTTATGTGTTCCTCCTCAAACCGCCGACATCCTGCCTCTCTGCTCTCCTTCCTCCTGCTGCGCCCGTCGCTCTCCTGCCGAGCGCCGCCGCTGCTGCCGCCGCCGCCGCCGTCACTCTGTCATTAATGGCAGGTGTCATGAAACATTGATGTGCCCATGGAGACCCTTTGGCAACGGGCCCCACAGGCCCCACTCTCCGCTGTAATAACGGTCAGTGCTGCGCCATATGAATGCTCCCGGCTCGTGGCTATTCTAATAATAAATGTGGAGGAATCGTCATAACTGTGCTCTCTGAGGGCAAACTGATTTGTGCTCGCCGCTCTGCTCGATTACTAATGCTGTTAAAAGTTTTCAAAACTAAACTTTCGTTGCTGTTTTCCTGTCTTTTTGATCATTTTGATCATTTTCCTTCATGCTCTTCAGTTGGACAGTGGCGCTTCGCCGGCTGCCAAAGCATTGATCTCCTGTGATCACAATCTGGAGACAGTCAGTTTTGATGTTGGCCAGGCCTGGAGAGAAAGTCTGTTTTTATTCATGAAGGAGAAAACAGGCAGAGGCGAATGCTGAATGAAGGCGAGACAAAGCTCAGGTTACAGGAATACATCTGTAGATTGAGCAGACAGCGTTAACGTCTCACCTACAGCAGCCACAGAAATCTGGGTTTGGAGAATCGACCAACCTGGAGGAGTCAAGCTAATGACCAGACAGACGGTTTCCTTTCAGTTTGTGTTCCTACTCAGCAGAAACTCTGCAGGATGCAGACCAGAAACGTCCACCAGGTCTATCTGCTCTGTTTCACTTCTCTAAACTGATTAACCTCCAGCTTTGCCTCTGCAGTCGTTAGTAATGCATTTAATTGTCTGTTTCACAGTCTAGTCTGTAATTATCACAACGTCTGTCCTTCCTGGTCTGTTCATTCCTCCAACACCAACTCTACAGAAAACAGCTCACTGATAACAATAACGCTTCAAACCAAAGAAAAGTCTAATGAGTAACTTTTGTCCTGCCAGCATGGACCCAAATCTCTGCTGGTTGGCTCCATCAGCTTCTCTGCTAGGAATCATGAATGTCCCATTTCTTTTGGGTGATGAAGCACATGAATGCTTTGGAGGAAGTTAGGTTTTATTTTTGTTCCAGCTTTGAGCTCTAAAGGTGCAACAGTGACGGCGGCAGCATGTTGGAGCAGCTCGGTATCTTAATTCTGATTTAATATTTTTCTGGACTTTCGTTCATATAGTTTTAGTTTCATGTTTAGACATTTATTCCCTCTGGTTTGAAGGCAGGAAGGATTTTTGCTCTCACATTCTGACTTTCACACAGTTGTCATGATGTATAATCGTGGTAAAAAGATATTTTTTGTACGAGTCGGAGCAGCTGATTAGCATCTCTCTCCTTGAATGCAGGTCAGTAACCAAAGAGCAGAGAGAAAAGGTCAAAGTTCAAGCCTTTTCTTCATGTCCCAGACTCTAACTTCTGTCTGCAGGAGATTTACAGAGGAGCGGCAAAAGCAAATGAGGTGGATTAGCAGTTCTGGCCAACAACTGATGGTATCATCTGGGGCAAGTTACTGTGGAAACATCCTGTGCAAAAGTCTTCAGGCAGAGAATCTTCAGATTTGTTAAAGGCAGCATCACCATCCATAAAGTCTGAAGAAATTTGGATGATACGAGTTACAACTTTTAACTCCACATCAGGACGACTGAAGTGATTGATGCTTTTGCCTTGATAAATCCTCCTGGTTCGCCAGATTGCATCAGAAACAGTTCAAACACATGAGCAATACGTCTGATTTCTCTCTTTTCCTTGCATTTTTCGGAGACGGACAAATGCTACTCACGTCATGATGAGCGTCTCCTCGCCCGGCTCGCCCAGCACCCCGTCCACAAACAGAGGCGTGTTGGAGAAGCTGTACTTGCTCCACTGCCGTCCTTCATCGAAGCTCAACCTGAGGACACAAACAGCTGCAGCACCAGGGAACCATGCTAATCCCCCCACTGTGTGCACAAGCTAATGACCCTTAGAGGTGTCTCACAACTTTATTTCATATTCAGTGCAGGACTGAGGTTCTGTGCTCAGTGAGCAGCGATCAGTGAGAGCGACACTCATTATGACTTCAAACACGGAGAGGGGAAATGGAATGACAGCTGTAAGAGCAATCATTTTCCACGGCTGCTGGCTCCTCTAACAGGAATCAGCTCAGTTCAAGACAAACTCATTTGCTTTTCTGTTTGACTAACTTAAGACTTCCAGCTCCCTCTGAGGGAATTAGCCATGCTGTGACAAACGGCAACTCCGTGGTAATGACTCACCATAGGTGTCGGATGGGAAGTGGAGTGTGTCTTATTGCCACCAAGGCTCCACCTTGGTCGAGATAAAGCACGGCGTACTCTTCATCAAAGATCTGCAGCAGAAAGAAGAAAACTCAGCGAGACGAGACTTTCCTGCAGCCGTCGCTGCACAGGGAGGAAGCTGCATGCTGATGACCTCACATGACCTCACATGACCTCACAGACTGAAAGTTATTTCACATGACCCTCGATTTATGTCTTGGCCCTCAGATTTCTAAATGATCTTTTATCAAAGTGTTTCATTAAAAAAGGGAAACGTTGACGGTGAAGCAACAGGCATTTTCACATAAAACTGCAGGAAAGAAATAAGTGACAAAATTTTTGTTTTTCTTATATTTCAAATATTTTGTTTTTCTTATGCTTTGATCTGACTTTTGAGTTATTGATGGGACTTCAGGCTCTTTTAAGAAAACCAGATCCGTTCAGGTCGTTCAGATGATTTTAAAAATGTTTAGAAGAACAAGCCATTTTCCCCCCATTACAATATTAATTACAGAAACTTGTTTTAGTGAGTGAAATTCACAAACAAGTAGGATCTTAAAACTAATATTTACCCAGTATGTGCAAAATAGGAGCATGGCGTGTTCAGCCATATTCAACAGACATGAATTAGGTAACATGCTGTGTTCAGGAAGCGTTTAAAAGAATCGGATCGTCGTGTCATTTTTTCTGCAGTTTGTGGAGAGAAATGCTGTTTGATGAGTTAAACTGACTCTTTTGCTTCAACATACGGTGAAGTTTCTGAATTTATGTACAAGCAGGCAGTTCACAGCGTTTGGAACCACAAACTTATTTCATTCTGATTGTTTGCAAAACATCAGGAAAAACTAGGATTTGAAGAGGAATAAAAGTGAAAGATGGTTTTTATTAGTAGCAAAAGTTTCGCTATGCATTTGAGTTCAGCCTCCTTTCCTTTGACACCCCTAAATAAAATCCACTGCAGCCAAATGCCTGCAGCAGAGAACAACCAGCATCATGGAGACCCAGGATGTTCTGGTGAAGTTTAAAACCGGCCAGGCTCTAAAACAATAACCCAAACTTTGAACAGAGCTCCTTTAACTAGGACATTGTTTATGACTTTGCTTCTTTTAATTAGCGTAGCTTCATCTGTCTGAGCAGACAGCGTTCCTCCAACGTTCCAGACAACCTCCAGCTGTTTCTCACATCTGTCAGCTTATCTATAAATGCGAGGCGCTGTGAGCGCCGGCGTTCTAACTTTGGATGATGTTTGTCTTCTGAGCTTTATGACTTTTTATGCTTGAATTATTTCCTCCAGGTATCACTTTGATCCCAATTTATTCTGCCCCAAAAGCGACCACAGACCGGGCCTCCATGTCCCAGAGGGTTCTGTACAGTTCGAGCTAATCTTTGTTAGCCTCCACTGCAGTCTTCTGGCAAAGTCTGGAGTGATGTGGGCTCAAAGACCACCCTGCCATCACTCACATATCATAACTGCTTAGATTTTTAGTTGTTTTCATTTCTGACTTCATTTGTTTTAGAGCTACATGGCAGCTTGTTTCATTCAGAAGGAAAAAAACTTCCTGAAAATGACTTTCTGAATAAAAACTGACGTAATGTAGAAGAAATGTATTTCACACGTAAAAACTGAGTCATGGAGGCCGAACAGACAAATGATGCTGCATTAATGTGTTTTAAAATATTTGCCTCAAGGACAAAGAGAAATAAATAAGCTGTGAAATTTAAACGGCTTCTTTCAGGTTTTTGTTTAACACCTTATTTATATTACAAATAGTTAATTTTAGGATTTTCTATAGCAGCAACAAACCCCACACCAAAAGCAGCTGTTAACATCTCTTGCTAGCAGCTGTTAGCATCTCTTGCTAGCAGCTGTTAGCAGCTCTTGCTAGCAGCTGTTAGCATCTCTTGCTAGCAGCTGTTAGCATCTCTTGCTAGCAGCTGTTAGCATCTCTTGCTAGCAGCTGTTAGCAGCTCTTGCTAGCAGCTGTTAGCAGCTCTTGCTAGCAGCGAGGCATTCAGTGAACAGAAAGAATTAATTGTTTTAGCTGAAAATCAGCTGATCGGTGGACCGAGCCTCTAAAGAGCAAACGGGTCCAACATCCGTTAGCGACCAGATTTAGTGTTAAATGATGGAAGACTAAATGTTCAGCTCACTACTGTTTTTATCTCCTCACCTCTTCAGTCTGGATGGGAGAAACTGAGAATTTTTTTTTCTTCTGGTTTTAATCAATTAAATTTTTCATAAATTTGAGGGCCAGATATCCATTATATCTATGAATGATCAGTGTGAATCAAACACTGAGCCACGGATGCTGAAGCACAGAACATTTTATGACAAACAACATAAATAAATTAAATATTATAATTATCAAAAATACATTTTAGGATAAAACCCAGTTATCAGTTTTAGTGGACATAAAATGTAACAAAATCTGATCTTTAATCTTATGGGTAGTTTGGTGGATCCACATAAGAGGAGCAACAATTTGGTTTTAAGTTTTCTTTTAGAAATATTTATCTGCTTTGCAGTTCCAGGTGTTTCTACAGAAAGAGGCAGCATTACAAGCTGCAGTTCGTCCTGCCGACACAAAGAGTCTGTTTTAGACGAAGCCTCTGAATCTAAAGTCTACCTCAGGTCTGTGCAGAGAGGCGCCACTGTTCACACTTTGAATATGGACATCCAGACAAATGTTCTACCCAATAATAAAGACTTCAGTGTCTGCTAACTGAACATGAGAGGAGAGAAAGACAGGCAGCGCGTCAGGGTGGCAAAACAGAAGTGAACCAAATGTCAGTCAGCTGCAGCCATGGGGAAACGTCTGAAAGGTTTGTAGATTTCTAAAACACTCTCACTTCCTCCACAAAGAAGAATCAAAGACTGCATTCCCAACAGAAGTGATGTCATATTGTTTTACACTTCCCACATTTCACAGCTGAACTGGAGTTACTGCACAGGATACATTTCAGCAGCATGACATTCCGGCAGCACAAAGAGCACTCACCTGTCTCCACGTGTTTCCTGCATCAGAGGTGATGAACGCACTCACATTGCTGGTGGTCAGTTCTGAACCGATGGAGCCTGCAGAGGAAATTCACACAAGACAAACTGCATTTGATGATGGGAGCAGCATGATGTGTACGCAGGAAGAAAAGCCTGTTTCAGATCAAATGTAACTTTTATGCAGTGAGAACTGCAGCCAGCGGTGGTCCACTCTGCAGCTGCTGACTGCGCCTGTAATTACGCTGCTCCTACAGATCTACGCCACACTGTGACATTTGTCCAGGCTCCCAAATTAACCAATAAATCCTGATTACCGTATTCATCTTTCAGCACTTCGGACCACATTAAGACAAGCTTTGCTAATCCAGTGCAAAAGGCTGTAATTGCTTTAATTCAGCCTGTAATTGGTGCCAGGTGGCAGGTTTTCCAGGCCTGATTGTTCCACAGGCATCAACTCTCCATGAGCAACAATCTCCTTCCTGCACAACGAGCCCAAAGTCTGATCCAGTTTCTGTCTTTGGGTGATCTATGAAAAGGCTGAATTTCCGATTTGGTGCATTCTTTTATTTCTCATTTTGTGGCACAATGAGGGTGATAACAACTCCAGCAGCAGTTGAGTTTCAGTTTCAGCGAACACATCGCCGTTTTATGGCTCTGACTTCCCATCCTGACCATCTGTAGACTTTATCAATGGAAATGCGATCATGATGGCTGGAATCGTTCTAAAATTAGATCCCCGGATGGAGAGGAAGAAGTTATTTTTCCGTTATTTTCCTCCTTCATGACCGCAGCTGGAATAATGACGGATCAAACCAAACGGGTCGATTGTTGCACTGAGAGCTGTTTAATTCTCTGCTTCACGCTCAGAGTGCGAGCCTGGCCTTCTGCAGACACCCGAGGTGTGTGCTGATGAGTTATTGACAGTGTCAGTCCATGTGGGAGTAAATATCACCGCAGTGTGAATCCACCTGCAGGGCAGCTGATGTCATTTTCCTCCATTTTTCTTTGTTCCTGATGGTTTATAGCTTTGCATCACTGATGGCTGTTTGGTGGAAACCAGAGGAGGGCAGGCAGAGGGCAGCAAGCAGCATGCAGAGGCGCTGCAACTATTCAACGTTCTCACATTTTATCACATTAACTGAAGCCTGAATGCCTGTAATTTTATCAGATATAACTAAACCAAGTGGAATTGAAATGAGAAGTCTCATCGTTACTTTCATCATCTAAATAAAGATCTTTGTGAAGCAGAAACAAACGGCACAAATCCTCACTGTGAAGTATGGCGGTGGCAGCATCATGCTATGGGACAGCTTTTCATTTGCAGGGATTATTCTGGAAGATCATTTAATGATTTATGTAGAATCTGATGTTTTCACCCATCAAAAAGAAATATTTCATGTTTAGTTTATTACTGAACAAATTACGTTTGAAGACCACAGGAACCTTCAGCTTGATGGCTTTAGCCTGCATGGTAAAAGTTTACAGACTTCCAGTGTGCATGAGGCTGCATTTGTGTTCTAAAATGGCCTAGTCAAAGTCCTGAACCAAATTAGATTGAACATTTGAGCCAAGACTATAAAACTGATGTTCAGATTTTAACTGAAAATATCTTACAGAGTAAAACAGAAAAGAAAATCTTTCATCAGCGTTAGTAGATAAAAACCAGGAAAGATGATTTCCTTTCTGCTTCACAATCAAAACGTGTCACGTTAAAACCTGATGAAGCTCATCCAGCTGCGTGGTTGTAAAGAAATGAGAACAGATCAAAGAGTGAATCATTTATGTCTGTAACATCCTGAAGAGAAGATCTGACTGCAGAACGTTTGTCTCTACATGTAGATCAATGTTTCCAACTTTAAGCCTCTTCTCTTCACCAACATTCAGCAAAAAAAATGTGATGCTGCAGAATGGATTCATAAGAATCTTTGACTGTGAAACCAGTTAAATAATGAAACCCAGTGATTAAGCGGACGCTGTTAGGAGGTCGTTACATAATGAGCAGACAGTCGACAGCCTCCCTCACACCCACCTGAGGCGACGATGATCCCCGGCGCCGACTCCCTGCTGGCGATGTTTCCAGATGTGTAGGGGTTGGCAGACACGTGGAGATGGAGATGTAATGAGCAGTATGGCTGCAGAGGGAGGAATCAAAATCTCAATTAGCGAAACCTTGGGGCCGAGCCGCCGGGATCACTGAGAGACGCGGACGCACGCCTCGCCGGTTGCATCGACTCGGATCCGCAACCCTCCCAAGTCATAAGCTCCATCACAAACACGGCTTCCCCATTGGCCGGCATCACCATTAATTTTGATTGGGTTAACCTTTACCGACACAATTCTCATTACGAGGCGGCGAAATGCCAATGGAGGAGGCCATGTTGTGACGGGATGTTTGGAGGTTTATTAAAACTCTGACATTTGCTGACAAATGACTGGATGATATGAGAAGAAGGAGAAAAATGCCACAGAGTATCTAATTGGTTTTTGTTTTTTGGGGGGAGTGATTATTTCCGGTCTCAGGTTGGGATGAGTTGGGAACGTTCCAGATGAACCGGATTGTTGAACTTTAGCATCTGACTGAAATCTCAGGCGAGCGATGAGCTGCCCCAACTCTCAGGATGCTCAAAGGAGAGATGAAGGAGAGGCGCGCGCTTCTCCGCCTGACACCTCTTCTTCTTCCAGTAGCTTAAATGGGAGGTCGGCTTATTGGACTGAATCAGAACGGCTGACCTTTCAGCTCGGCCGCCTCGGAGCGCTCAGCTCTGACGGCTGTGAGCGCGGCCTCTCGCTGCTGCTGGGATCAGGCGGCTCCTGTCTCTCAGATGGACGTGGATAAAAAAACAGAAGAGGCAGCAGGAGTTCTCACCAGAACGCAGTGGATGCTGTTGCTTCTCAGGTCTCTGCTCGGAGCCTGCAGCAACCTCCAGTCTCTGCCGCGGTTAAAAGTGATGTACGTCTTTATTTGGTTATCCGTCTTTTTGTTGGCGAGGAACATGCCCTTTATTCCTGCCATTGGAGAATCAGAGATCTCTCTCTCTGGTGTCCACTGAAAATGATTCACTTTAGTCGGAGTCAGATGTTTACATACTCTGCAGAAAACCAAACAACCTTTTTATTCCACAAATCAGAATAAATGTTCCATTTCTTCCTCCCGGAGGAAAAACCACTCACATTACAGGAAACCCTCCCACTGAGCAAAAACCTCCCCTTTAACAAGAAGAAACCTCCAGCAGAACCAGAACCAGAACCTGGGTCGGTACCAGCGGCCATCGGCCTGGAGGTTTGAGAAGACGAAGCAGATAAACAAAAAGGAAAAGAAGAACTTGTATGTGGTTATTAATGATGTTCATGAAAGCAAAAAGTTACCAGCAGGAGAAGAACGACAGCAAAACACGCAAACCTGGACGAAATATTGAAATTAGCCAATTATTTAGTTTGTCAATAAGTCTTTGATGTTTATAAACGTATGTTCAACATGGTGAAAATATAACTTTGAAAAATCCACAGGTTTTCCTCAATGACAGGCCAAATGACCCAAAGTATTACTGTAAAACTTTTACAGTGTAACTTTACAGGCAGCAGCCATGTGTGTGACTATCTGCTTTCATCTGCACCGAAACGTCACCACGGAGCTCAGTGCAAAGCGAGTCGGATGCCGGGTTGATTGCAGCACACACAGACCTGCTCTGTATTCCTACCAGAACCAAACACAGCGACAAACGCTGAGTGGAAAATGATGGAGCGTCTGGAGACTTGTGAGTAATCAATGTGTGCCTTAAATGAATGTGACTCCCCGCTGGAGGCCCGCGGGGCGCCGCAGCCGGCCTCCAGCGCGTCGCTGCGCCTGCATCAACCCGTGAAACTCCACTTTGGTAATTGGCAGATACTTCATTCTCCCTCTGAGAGGAGATTTAGCATAAGTTTCGTCCTGGGTGGCGACCCCAATCAGGACGGTGGATTTGATTCTATCTCTGTGGCTGCAGGACGACATGCGCTGCATCGTCGCAGGCTTAATTATCAGATCCGCAGATAGAAGTTTCAAATAAAGGTAGGTGGTCAAATAACTCAAAAAATCATAAAGATTAGGTGGGTTTCATTAAATATTAGCTGTTTTTTTAATCAAAGGAAGGGATAATCTTAGCTTCAGGAAAGATTTCCTTTTCCTGTTGATGTGGACACTTCAGAGGAAAGTTGCTGGTTTATTTCATCCCCTCTGTCTTATTGATCAAATTTCTAATAAAACTTCAGCTGCTTTTAACCTCTAGCTGAAATCAAAGCGTGTTCCTGGAATGAAACGCAGCAGAGAACGGTCCAGTTAAAGTCTGTTCACCTCGTAGAGGTCCACCATGACGTTGCCCTCCAGGCCCATGCTGCTGACCACATTCTCCAGAGCCAGAGTGTAGTAGACGCCCGAAGTGTCCGACACGTACAGGTTGTAGGTTTCATTCTGGTTCCACTCCTGCACAGCAGCCACCACGCGGTTTTCATCTGTACTGATCACATGCAGCTCCTAGGAGACGGACCAGGACAATCAGGCTGATAGATGAAAAAGGTTTGATTTGCTATGTATTACATTAAGCTACGGATTAGAAGAGTCTTAGCGTTGTCAATCATCCTTGTGTATACGCTCCCTCTACATCTCTGCTATGAATGCTCAGCCGCGTTAGCATAGCCACTGATAACAATAGATAAACAATTTTTCTGGAACAGTAAGTTGTTCGTTGCTATTAGCATATTTAGCAGTGCATGCATGAGGATGATTGATAGCATTAAGACACTCCTCTTGGCTCTGACCGGTTGTTTTTGCCCATTAGGGTAAATTTCTGCAGCTCATTGAGGACATCGACCTTTTCTTACATCGTTCATCTCAACATGTTGACATTTTTAACAAATATGGAAAAAACATGTTTTTTAAAAGTGATGCAGTTCAGCTGTAACTCTGACATCCGGATGAGTTTAACATTTACTCATACTCCCAGGATCAGTGCATCTCAGCTTACTTTAACTTTGGACCTTCAATCAAAGTCATGATGTATTCAGTTCCAATTATAAACCTAAAGACGTTCATATGATTCTTATTGTTCCTGAGTTCCTGCTGGGTTAATCACAGTCATCTGAACTCTTCTGTCGTCTGTGTTTTAACTAAGAGGATGCAGCAATCATTACCACTTGCAAAGAGTTATTGGACAGAAACTATTCGGCTGAGTTCGTGCTGTTTGCTTGGGAGCTTCATCTACCTCTGACTGTTCCAATAATACCTTGCAGCCAGCCTGCAGCTACCCGGGCGCACTGGGCCTGATTGAATAAAACATGTTTAATTGTCAGTAGGGACGTGATAAGCGAGGTCAGGCACACGCGAAGCAGAGCCGAATAACAATCCTGGAAACGCTCTGAGATACTTGATTTGCCCGGAAACACCAAAGAGACCATCGCAGGGAGGCAGCAATGAATCGGATCCCAAAACCTGGCAGGAGCTTCTTTTTATCCAACGTTTAGATGTACAAACCTCAGCTCTGCTGTGCAGAATTTTTGTTCTAACACTTTCTAGGGTTGTGCAATTGCTTTTTAATGGCCAAAGTCTCAGGAGCGCCTGTTGGTGTGTGTTATGTAAGCTGTGACAAAGCGCTGCGCTGTGTTACCTTGGGCAGGGTGTACTTTGGCAGCTTCATCGGGGTAAAGACGTCTCGTTTTGCAGAAACGTAGTAGACCGGCCTCCCTGCAGTGGACACCTTCAGGCACAAACATGACAAACAGCATCATATTACACCAAACAACAGAACGCAACAGAATATGCCCTGCATGAATCTCCCACAGCCACAGCACATCCAGGAGCAAACAGACGATTCCTTACCTGGACAAACACATACTCATCCTGCACCACCAGGGAATTGGGGTCAATGTATCCGGGGAACGGTTTGCCCTTGTTGGCGTCTGTGCAGTTCTGCAGCTTGCAGGTGACGTACAGCGCCTCTGCTCACACACACACACAGAGACACGCACACACACACACACACACACACAGAGACACGCACACCCACACACACACACACACACACACACACACACACACACACACACACACACACACACGCACGCACACACACACACACACACACACACACGTCAGGCCGTGGCTCCTGATATGGTTTTAGCCGATGAAGAAAGGCAGCCTTCACCCACAGCTAAGTGGTCTCTTTTGGCCCCGTGTCAGTGAAGTGGCCCCGGTAAGAGATGACAGATGAACCGACAGGCCGATTGCTTTCTTTGCCTTCAATCACGGCTCTGCGGCCCCAACGCCTGTCCCCCATCGCCGGCCTCTGCCAAAAACCTGTCGGCTCCCCCCATACAGGCCTGATCAATGGTGATGGTCTCTGGCTGTAACACTGCGTTTGATTGGCTTACCTCTGTCACATCAGGCTCAAACAAAAACCAAAAAAAGGAGAATAGATGGCAGTGTGGAAACGAAGAGGAACGCAGATAAATTAACCACATGACCATGTCCAGACAGGGAAATGTGGTCTGGACATGTCCATCCATGGACAACGTTCTGACTGAGGCTTCAACAGGAACGAATCTGTCCTCGGGGTCTCATGCATAAAACATCCAGGGCTGAGAGATCTGGAGGTTGAGAGGCTCACTGGATGAGCAGAGCAGAAATACTACATCACATCCTATTTTCACTCAGGTCAGTTCAGTGACGTTTTATGTTCTCCAAGGATTTCTGTGCAGAACAAAGTTATTGTCCTTTTTAAAATGCTTTCGTATCGACGTGATTCAGGTGAGTGAAATGAATCTACATGTGCACCACTGACCCAAACCGCTGATCTTTAAAAGCTTTACCAATCCATGCATTTCTTTTCCTCCATTGTTGCTGTGGGTCTCTGGACCCGGCCGGCCGTCCCTTTACATTATCCTGCAGCAGGACTGTCCAAGAACCCCTGACTGCTCACTACTTGGGCACAATGCTTCCGGCAGAGCACAAAGACAGCAGGAAAATAAAGCTCTGAACTCAGAATTCAATTACTCACGTCCTTCAGAGATGCTGGTTTCCAGGTGAATTAAGCCCGGCTCTTTGTCCAAACCCATCTTGGACCTGAAAGGCAGACAAATATGTTTCAGGAACATCACCGCTGCTCTTTTCCCATCGGGTGGAAGCCCCCCCTTTCTGAAGCTGCTGCCTGACCTGAGAGATTACATGCTGCAAAGTCAGACAAGCTTATAACAACACAGACGTTCAGCCAACTGCAACCACAGCAGTGGTAAATATCAGCGTGCAGGAATCACTGCCTCCAACATGACGATCTGTGTTCAGCACAGAGAGCCTCAGGTTGAATGACTGATCTAAATGTTCAAAAGACCTTCAAGGTCCTTTTCCTCCCCGAATGAGAGACAGAAAGATGTTTCCTCCCATCATTAGAGCAGGAAAATCCATTGATTTTGCTGCTGCAGCCGGGATGCCTGCAGATGGAACAGCATATAATCATTAGGGCTTTAAAAATGTATTAAAAAGACTGGAGGATCAGAGGAAGGAGGCGAAGGCAGCGAAGATGAGGAGTTGATGGGAGAAGGTGGAAGGAGACGCGACAACGTTCTGACGGATCGAACCGATTTCTGGAAGTCTGTGTGTGACAGACTGAGAAACAGCAAAACTCAGATCATTGTTCTTTTATTCACTACATGAGATCAAACAAAACTTTGAACATGATGGCCTACTTCTCAAGTCCATGTTTACATTTTACTGAATAATCCAAAGAATCATCTGAGGCAGGCAGTGCATTATGGGAGCAGAGCGTGAAGGAAGTTTGCCCTGTCAGGTTTCTGCAAGAGGGCAAATAGTTTAATGCTTTAAACGCTCCAAGAATTATATTCAAGATGAGTTTACCACAAAGAGGTTTTCAAAATATCACTTTATTTACTGAGGGGAAAGTTAGTGAAAGTCAACAGTATAAATGTAATAAATGCTTGTTCCATTCACTAACAGGGCTGAATAACAGCAACTCAGTTCCAATCCAGGTTTGGACTAGGCCACTCCAGAACCTTTTTTGGTTATCCTGATGTTCTTTTATCACTGCTTTGCTTCATAACCCACGTCTGTTTCACCTGAAGGTCATGAAATGACAACCTGAAGCTTCTGGACGATGTTCTGGTTGGGAGCAGAAATAGTTCAGTTCTGACATCAAACCTCCACCATGTCTGGCTCGTTTCCTGAGATGCTGCTGGTTTATGCCCGATGTAACGAGAAACAGAGAAAACTGGAGTTAAGATATTCCAGTTTTATCTGTTCATCATCAACATATTTTTAACAAATATAAGATGTGACTTTATGTTCTTTTTAGCCAGCATCGGTTCTGGAAACTCGCCTGGATGTAAAGTTTCTGACACAACTTCACCTGGAGAGGAACAACAACCTGGTGGGTGAAGACGCCAACAGCACTCAAAGAACCGATTAAACAATATTTACATGAATAAGAAACACAGTTATGCACCGATCTTACTTTCCTCTGTCCCAAACTCCGTCTGTCTGCTCTGCTGTCAGAGTCACTGACTGCCTGAGCCGCCCAAAACGTCACGTCTGCACATGTAATCACTTAACCACTTTTCAGACAAATAAATCAGTAAGAGCCAAAATTACATCAGCAAGTCAGGATTTTTAAAGATCAGCCAGAAAACTGCAATCGGTTTGCCTTTAGTAATGAATCAAAGCTCATTCATGATTTAACAAGTGGATGTTTTACTCACACAGGGCCCGATTAGTTCATTTCTTACTAAAGGGCATCATCATCTCAAAGTTGCATTTTCTAATTACTTTGATATTAAAAGTTATTAATGAGAAACATTCAGCCTGGCAGAAAAGCAAACAGAAGAAATCAGCAGGAGAACAAATACTTTTTCCAAGAAAGTTCAAACGGAGACCAACAGCAGCGCCTGTGTCTGTGCTGAGGTCAGACCCAGAGGGAGCAAAGGAGCCGGCGTCATGAGAGGGAGCTCTCGTCCCAGGAAACACACGCAGCTCCGAAATGTTGCTGCAGAGATCATCAGAGTCATATGCAAATGGCTGCAGACGCTGAGCTCCCAAACTGATTATATCAGCATCTGATGGAGGTGAGCAGCAAGTCGCTCAGAGCCTCTCAGCTTCTCCGAGTCACAAATGAGTTTACACATGTTCCATGGCTCCATGCGCAGCAGACAGAAGCTCCCTGAGCAGCTTCATTACCAGGGCTAGCACAACTCCAACCGCACAGCGCGCAACCCAAAATAGAAGCCTGACAGCAGCATCAGCAGCATCAGCAGCATCAGCAGCATCAGCCCGGAGGCCCGCTTCACTCCTGGCAGCGCGGCCTGTTATTACGGCTCGGCCGCTCTGCTCTCTGCTGAGGTGAAGCCCGTTTGTCATGAGTTGGTTACTGGATGCAGAAAACAACTAACTTTGACACAACAAAGAACAAAATGTTTTTATAGATTTTATGAAACAAATTATGATCATTGTCCTGAGGGAAGCATCTATTCAATAAATCTTTGTATTTCTATATTTTATTCCAAAATTAACTGTAAAATTATGAGAAAAACAAATGAATGTTCTAATGTCTCTGTAGTTGGTTGCTTGTCACTCCTGAATGTTTCAAATCAAATTCATGTCTAATCTGGATTTATGGAAGATGAGTTTTATTGCAGCATAAAGTTTTTCTGAAACACATCAAAACATCGGGGAAAAGGTTTTATTGTCCAGGAATAATTGACCTTCTTCTGCTAACTGGGTGCACTGGTTTACCGTTACACCCAGTTAGGACTTTTCGGGGCTTTTGTCGCTTGTGGAAGCAGGAAATACCTCTGGAGAATATTATGCTTCTTCATGGTTATGCAGATCATAATGCAACAATTCTGCATTAAAAAATCCTTTTTATTGGCAGAATGCAACATTATTATTGTCTTGGAAACTTTTCTTTATCTGCCAGCTGCAATTATCACAATTAACACGAGAAACATTTCAACCTCTGCAATTACATGACTTTCAGTTGTTCAATTAAATGAGTGGAAAAAAATGGAAAAACTTTTGATCATATTCTAATTGATTGAAAACACAACCACCCAACACATTGATGATCATTCTCACACATGAATAATATTCATCTGCACAACCTCTTATTCAATTCTAATTCTAATTTGACATGTTTACCACCTGCGTGAAAGAAAATGACAATAACTGACGTGTTTGTAGAAACATCCTCGGCTCTCTGCTTCCTTCCAACAGTTGATCAAATTTATTTGGCACAAAACAATCCAGCTTCAATTAATATGCAGCAGTTAGAGCCACGATTAGTCAACTCTATAATGAAATCTGAATTTCAGAATGAGCAGTTTGTCATGAATTATTTGAACTAATGTTCAAAGTTATTGCTGTGAAGATAATGTGACACACATGTGGGGAGATGCTAATTAAACCAGGTTCAGGTGTTTCAGGTCATTTTGCTCTGAATTAAGGGGCATTTTTAGGTTGTTTTTGTTACAAACAGGTTATTTTTACACACGATGTTTAATAAGCCATTTGAAGTTCAATAGTTTATGAGGTTTTGTTGAAATTTAACAAAACAAACAAACATTGAAGCTCTGAGCTAAAACGTTGCTAAAGGTTCACTCCTTAAATCTTAGTTATTAAAGCATATTCATTTATGTGATGATGAAACTTTTAAAGTTCTAAGTGTCACCCGATGCTTTTCAATGTTTGCCTGAGTTTTTCTTTAAAACTTTTTAAAACTAGCAGTTAATAAGTCAAAAGAATCTCATTTTTCTATTTGTTAAAAACATCAGCGTTAGTCTAAACACATTCTTAACATTTCATAACAAGAAGCAGAAAAATTATTAATACCAGAGACAAAAGAGCTTTTTATTCTTAAAATTGTGACAGGTCTGATAAAATCATTTAAACATCCTTGTTTTAATCAACAATGGAAAAAAAGGCATAAAAAACATTTCCTTGTTAAACTTTCCTTAGAGAAAAAAAAATATTTAGACATTTTGTTTATTGAAAATGAGATTTGTTTTAAATTGACATCAGTTTTAAATGGTATAAACAAAGTATAGTGAACGGGTTATTATCAGCATTACTTACCAGTAGAAACGATTAGGAGCCACTTTCTCGTGCACCAGCTGCCATCGTCTTCCAAACTCAACAGAACTGTAGAGCTGTAAAAATATTAAAATAAATGTTACTTTCCAACAATCATTCTGCTGTAAAAGCAGATAAAATACAACCCAAAGTGCACCAGGCCAACCTTCAGGACATTAACACGGAGTTTTCACTGAACCAAAGCAAGACGATTAATTTCAATAAGTGTAAATATTATTGAAAAGAATTAATTTCATAGCATAATTACACACAGATGGATGTTTGAAAGTCTTAATTTCTGTTAATTATGATCATTTTCTGCTTGGCTAATAAAAAACATGGCATTTAAAATTTGAATATTACATCATACCAATAAAAAAATACAGCCTTCATAAAAAAGTGTGTTCAATTAAAGGTTGTCCATTTTCAAAAGGTACTTTTAATGAGTTAAACGAGCCTCATGGGAATAATCATATTGTAATTTATGGACTGTGACTGAATTAAGACATTTGTGGACTCAGATTTCGGTAGGAAAATGTCACAGTTCTTCAGAGGAACGTTTTTAAGGAAGAGAGCAAAAGACACCGGAACATGAAACAAGAACCACTGGTTTGTTCCTCTGATCATCCTGCTGAGATTTGAAAAGCCATCTTCAAATATAAAGACATATCATTTTATTCCTCTTTAAATGCCCAAAATAACTTTGATTTGTACAAATGTGTTAAAATAAAGTGTGATTTTAAGTCAGTTTGGGTTTGAAGGCTCGTTGACAGACAGGAGAAGCAGAAGAAAATTTCTCCTTAAAGTTTCTGGCGTCTAAATTTAGTCTCTGGATGAAACATGAGAAAAACACAAAGATGTCAAAAAATGAAATTGAAATTCTAATTATTTTAAGTATCAATTACTAAATTGTAACAAGTACATTATATTTTAAATGTAAAGGTATAAAGTACATAGTAAACAGGAATGTTACAGTTATGTATTAAAAACAGAAAAACCTTTTTAGAGCATTTTATTTTGGTAGGACATAAAATGATTCTGCACCACTGCACTTATGTTATTTTTATCTATTCATTTAATGTTTTACTTTTACAGGATGAACTTATTCTCACTTTCCATTTTTTGAATCTGTAACCTTCAGAGACGGAAATAAAAGTCTTTTTATCCTCAAACACTCTGTTGAAACAAACAATCTGTTTACTGTGCAGCTTACAGAAACGATGTAATGAAGCTCTGAACTTGTTTCAATGTTAAACTCGGACTTTTCCATTTTGAGCATGAGGCGCGACACACAGCCTGTAAACACACTGGACACCCAAAATGTTTGTTTGCATTCATTTGTTTTCTAATTACATCTCCTTACTGTGGAAACAACATCATCCCAAACGGATCATCTCTGCTGAAAAATCGCATGTTTACCTCTGAAGGGATTTTCTCTCTGCAGCTTTGGACAAAATGCTGATTTTACATCAGATTGTTTTTCAGTTACTGACCCGTTCTGCATGGGAGAGGAAGCAATGTCACAGAGAGCTTCATGTAAGTATATTAAAGGAAAGTTAAGCAGAAGGAAAAAGTCTCGTTGATGAACAAGGATCTTTAAATTCAGACAATGTTCTGCAACTTCTAGATGTATTTCTGCTTCAACACACCTGAGTTAAATATAAAGTCATTAGCAAAACTCTAGAGACTCTATAAAAAATACTGATATTTAAATATATTGATCAGCACGTTCAGCATGTTTCACTATTGACTCCTTCTCAAAAGGTTATTTTCTCAAAAGGTTATTTTCCTGCAGCGCTGTATTTGGGTTAAACCAGTTCAGGTGTCCAAATATTCCAGAATCAGAATCTGAATCTGAATGCTATTATTTCAGTACAACCCGTCCAAACACAGGCGGGCTGCAGCCATCAGAACCGCCCTCTTCTTCATTTTGGATTGTTGCAGACTTGCCAACAAATCTCATCCTGCTTAAGATGAACTAAGAGTTCACACTCACATCAGCACTTGGGTTCAGACTTATTGAAATGTCTGAAGTTAAGCATCAGAAATTTAAATTCCTGAGTCATAATGATGGTCACCTCCCTGTCATTTTACATCTTTTCTTGTTTTTAGGTTTTATTCTCACCACTGATTTTTTCCATGACTTCACAGCGTCTTCATTTCTGGCATTGTTAAAATTGTTTACACATATTTGTAAAGTGACCCAATTTCATTGTATGAATGTATTCAATGACATCCCAGTTAAAAGTGAATCAATACAAATATATTTTTGCAATGTGTTTAATACACATGAAAATAAATATCACTGGTTGCTATTAATATGCCTGCGTGAAGCTGGCTAAGCAGATGCAAGAGAAAAGAAGAGAGCAGAGAACTGGGGCAGGAGGAAATCACTTTGACTAATTACCCTCCTAAAACGAGTTAGTGTGCATCCCAGTAAGAGAGCAGAGGCAGAGAACAGGAGCCGGAGGAGGTGAAGCAGCCACTGGCGGGGCGGAGGGGCCGCCGCCGCCGCTGCAGCCTCTGAAAGGTCTCTCAATCAACAAATGTGGCAGCTCTGCCAAAAAGAGGGCAGGCAAAGTGAAAGAGAAGCAGTTTTAGGGTGGAGGATCCATGCAACACAGGCAGAGCTGGAGCTGGTGGGAGTGGAGGACGATGAGGGAATGAATGATCCATTTCTTCCCTTTTCCCAAGGAAATATACAACATCATGACGGTGAGCACCGCGACTCTAGTTCTGCTGACACTAAAGCACTATTGACCCTTTGCAAATGTCTCCTGATCATGTTGAGGCGCCATGACGGACGTCAGCAGAGATGCACTGAACAGACGCTGCTTGTTGCCTCCAGTTGTTTTTGCCACTATCTCCAGTTTCTAGTGGTTCAAGTTGAGCTAATGTGTCTGTTGAAGAAGCTCATCCAGCTGGAGTTCAGTTTTCAGAAACAGCCTGTAACTGAGCCACAGGATTTATTTCTGTTGCAATAGAGAAAACCTAAAAGCATAAAAGTCTAGATGCTAAGAGGTGTGTGCATTCATGCTTGGCTACAAGCTTTTCCTCCATGCTAACTAATTATTAGATGCATACATTTTCTACATTGTAATATTGGATTGCATCACTGATATGAATGAGTGTTTCTCTTCTTACTTTGTAAAACTTTTTCCTTCCTCACCAAAAGATTTATGAGAAAATGACAGTTTGCTTTGCATCCTGTGTTTGTGCAGCCAACACTGCAGCACCCAGCGGCCATTTGCAGTGAAATCAACTAAAAAAGTGATTCACAGGCGTCTGCAGGTTGTTTTGACGCTTTCTGAACAGCATGATGTCATGTGCAGAGGGTCAATACCATCGTGTTATTCAGCAGAAGCCAATGCTAAATTGCTAAATCGATAAATTCAATCCTGATGCTCCCCATGTGTTAATGACCCAGCATGTCATGTCGCTCTCCCATCCGCCATCTGCATGGTTTCCCTTCAGGATGTGATTCTTTGGAGCAAAATTGTTCTCATGTTTTCAGAGGATTTACTTCACTTCCAAAAACGTCTCTGTGATTCGACATCAACACTAATACTGATAACAGCAAACAAACAAATATTGATCAGGTTTACATTTCTGGAATGATTCACCATGTTCCAAATCATTATGCACAGCACAATAACGCTTCCATTTCCATTAACTACCTCATGTTTTCATACAGCACTACTGATGATTTTCATCAGCAGGGAGATCCATTCTGCGTCTGCACTGGACTCGTCTGCACCTGCATTGATCTCGCAGCGTTTTGCAGGAGGAGCCGGTTCTGCTTCCAGTTCAGTTCAACTTTATTTATAGACATAAATCAGAGGCAGATTTAAAGTCAATTCCATCCAGTTCAAGTTGATCCCTTTTATCAAACAATACAGTCAAGTTCAATTTCTTATTCAAATTGGCTAAAATGTTTTCTATGAAAGGAAACCCGGCAGACTGACAGAACCACATCTGTCTCTCTGACCGGCTCCGTTATTTTCTATGAAAAGGAAGTAAATATGAAATATCAGGGCATTATATCTAATTTGTTTTCAGCCACAGCTGCTCAGATTTCATTGGTTTTAAACCCCAAACAGAAAGCATGGAATGGCCCTTTAACTGCAGCCACATATTTTAACATCCACCCTCTAACTGAAGCTTTGCAGCTGAACACATTTACCTTCATATTTCACCTTCAAGCTGATTAATAACCTCAGTATCTGTGAGAAGATCTTCTTCTGTCATGCTTCTCTACAGCAGGATTTACAGGCTGCAGCAGCAGCTGCTGCAGCTGCTGCAGCTCCATTTTCTGGATCTCTGCTTCACATAAGACACATTTAACCTCAAGCCACCGACTCCCACAAAACGCTGCGCTTACAGCGATTTCATGGCTTCGATCCCTCATACAAGCTGTCTAAATTTAATGTTTCACAATATCTTTGTTTGGTATTTCTTTACTAAAATAAAATGTTCACATAATTAATGAGGCCATCTTGGGTAAAGAAACACATTTACTGAGGACAACATTAACATGACTGAGAAACAGGATTAGAGCCAAGAAAAAAAACTCTTTCAGAATTTTGCTTAACCCTCTCAGGCTCAAATTACTTGCAAAGACTAGCTAAGTAGCATGTAGCTGTTGCAAATCTGCAACATCTGCCTGGAGAGGCTTAAAGTCAGAATTCAGAGAAAACAGTTCAAACTTTTTTTCAGTGTCTCTAATCCTCTGGAACTATTCTGCAAAGAATCATTTTTATTTTATTTTCACAGATCCAAAAGTCCTGCAGCTATAATTGCAGGGAAAAATTATTGTACAAGTTACTGATGAAGGGGAGATGAATACAAATATATGCCGCACTTTTCAGAATTTTACATTCAACCTTTTCATGCATGGGTCACTGCAGTGGACAGCTATCGAAAAGTGCTTCTTGTGCATTTTCATGTCATCATATAACTCCTAAAGAACAATAATACTGATGTACTTTTCAAATAACAACTTTATATTTGGAGAAAATTACAATTGATTACCTGAAAAAATTTAATTAAAATAAAACATTTGTACACATTTTCTCCCTACTTTTTTATGCCTTAAGAATTTTTTTTAAAAAATAGGATAAAAATCCTGACACAAAGGATCATAATTCATGCATGAAAGAGTTAAAACCAAGTATAATTTAAAGGCCAAATGAAACCCAATGAAACACTAAAGTGCAAGAAAAGATGAAAAGTTCAGAGCATTGTTTCCCAGACAGTAATTCCTAAAATAAAAACTTTAAAAGCATATTTGAAGCTTTACAAATGTTTTGTTGGGTTTTTCTGTTAGGCTGCAGATTAAATTTCACAGAAGAGAAACTTTCAGATTTATGAATAATATCCCTTCAGCTTATGGATGTTTCTGATACGGCTACTTCTGTTTCAGTGACATAATTAGTAAATTCAGTTTAGCTTTAGGGAGGAAGTTGCTGCAGTGTTTCATCCTCCTGCAGCGACTGGAAGACGTTTTCTTTCATCAGAGCTGCACCTGTTCTCCGGCTGAACTGTCACCGGCCTCCTGTGGAGCGTCAGTCCTCCAGCTAAGAGTCACTTGGACCCTGACGTGGTTTCACTTCGGTGAATGTCGAGGCTCTACCTCTAAAAGAAAGTGCAGCCACGTCCTCTCCCTCACCTTTTGGTCGTGGCTGTACGCCAGGATCCAGTCCTCCTGTTCGGGGTGAAACAGGAGGCTCAGGATGTAGAAGTTCAGTCGGTACTTCTGGTATGTGGCTCCTTCATCAGAGCTGATCAGAAGGCTGCTCTCTATCTCCGGGTCCGTCAGCAGCATGATCTTTAAAACAAGATGAGAATGATGAGATGAGAATAGAAAGCATTTGGTTATGCATGATGTCAGAAAGTACTGGAACATTTGGACCCGTTAACTTTGTTCCTGGTGACACAACCTGAGCGCTGAAGAGCAAAAGTAACAGACAGACACATCCTACCTAGAACTGAGCATTAATAATTCAACCAGAGACCATTTATGGGCGGTCCACTCCGAATGCAACTCGCCCTGCAGTTTTTAAAGAATCAGTTGCTATTCTACCTTATCAGATCACGGCTTAAAAGAATTACAGTCACTGTTATATCTAAAAAACCTGACTCAACCCAAGATTATGACTTGAAATTCTACTTTCTTCTCCAAATGTGGCTCAAAGAATAGAAAATAAAAACCTGCAACACGGCATCAACAGACTGGATGAGTTTTCCACAAAACGCGTCAGTGTTAGAAACTTTTCAGCAGATCATGAGCGACTCACACTGAGAGATTAAAATCCAAATATTTTGGAAATCACTCCTGCTGTAATCCTCCTTAACGGCCACACACACTGACTCACAGTCCAATACGGTAATGTTTCGCCACCAGCTCGTAACAGACAAACTGCAACGTCAGCACTTTGTATTGCTGCACTCATTCCATGATGTCATTTCCATTGGGGATTGGTGTGTGTGTGTGTGTGTGTGTGTGTGTGTGTGTGTGTGTGTGTGTGTGTGTGTGTGTGTGTGTGTGTGTGTGTGTGTGTGTGTGTGTGTGTGTGTGTGTGTGATGGGGGTTCAGTTCTGCTTCTGTCCTGCATCAATATGAAGTGAAGACGATGTGAAAACGCTGATACTCTCAGCTTTATTGTCTTCATGGCTCAAAGCAAAACTCGTGCAGAGCAGCAGGAAGTGCTGCGAGGAATCGACTGAAAGTTTTAACGCGACTTTTGTTTCCGGCTCTGGGGAAACCATTTTACCCACAGGTAACGTTCCACCGCCTGACAAAACGCCAGAGTCCAAACTAACCCGTTTTTAACACACACTAACGTTTGAGCACCACGTCTGCATTTCCCAGGGAATTCACAGATTATCCATCTGTATGGTACCAACCAGAACCCGCTGAGATCCAAACATCAACCTGGCTTACATAAAGACAGAGAGTAATAAATGAGAATAATTTGGAAGTAAAGGCTGTTTCCATTTGTTGCTCTCATGAGCAACAGAAATCAGTGGACTGTAGACATTAAGCGTATGGATCTCATTTAGGAAGTTTTGAAAGCAGAACCAGTCCAGAAACCTTCAGTTCAGCCTGAGGAAGAAATGAGGATAAAATGAGGATAAAATGAGGATAAAATGAGGAAGACCTGCAGCGTGATCAAAGCTCCATCTGAGCGGAGGGATTCTCAGACCTGCACCCGTTGCTCAGCGGCCCGTTGTTCAGCGGCCCGTTGCTCAGCGGCCCGTTGCTCAGTGGCCCGTTGTTCAGCGGCCCGTTGCTCAGCGGCCCGTTGCCACAGCGGCCCGTTGCTCAGCGGCCCGTTGCCACAGCGGCCCGTTGCTCAGCGGCCCGTTGCCACAGTGGCCCGTTGCTCAGCGGCCCGTTGCCACAGCGGCCCGTTGCCACAGTGGCCCGTTGCCACAGTGGCCCGTTGCCACAGTGGCCCGTTGCCACAGCGGCCCGTTGCCACAGCGGCCCGTTGTTCAGCGGCCCGTTGCTCAGTGGCCCGTTGCTCAGCGGCCCGTTGCCACAGTGGCCCGTTGCTCAGCGGCCCGTTGCCACAGCGGCCCGTTGCTCAGCGGCCCGTTGCCACAGCGGCCCGTTGCCACAGCGGCCCGTTGTTCAGCGGCCCGTTGCTCAGCGGCCCGTTGCTCAGTGGCCCGTTGCTCAGCGGCCCGTTGCTCAGCGGCCCGTTGCCACAGCGGCCCGTTGCTCAGTGGCCCGTTGCCACAGTGGCCCGTTGCTCAGCGGCCCGTTGCTCAGCGGCCCGTTGCTCAGCGGCCCGTTGCTCAGTGGCCCGTTGCTCAGTGGCCCGTTGCCACAGCGGCCCGTTGCTCAGCGGCCCGTTGCTCAGCGGCCCGTTGCTCAGCGGCCCGTTGCTCAGCGGCCCGTTGCTCAGCGGCCCGTTGCTCAGCGGCCCGTTGCTCAGCGGCCCGTTGCTCAGCGGCCCGTTGCTCAGCGGCCCGTTGCTCAGCGGCCCGTTGCCACAGCGGCCCGTTGCTCAGCGGCCCGTTGCTCAGCGGCCCGTTGCTCAGCGGCCCGTTGCTCAGTGGCCCGTTGCTCAGTGGCCCGTTGCCACAGCGGCCCGTTGCTCAGCGGCCCGTTGCCACAGCGGCCCGTTGCTCAGCGGCCCGTTGCTCAGCGGCCCGTTGCTCAGCGGCCTGTTGCCTCACTGGCTGCTGTTCAGATAAAATCCCAGTACAACACATGAAAGTTTATATTTCCAGAGATAAGTGTGAAGAATTTCAGTAAAAGTGGATATTATTAAAGGAAACCTAATTTGAATAAATGTAGTAATTTGCTTATTTTAGGTTTAAAGCAGAAAACTTACAAACTGGACGTCTTTGTGTGGTTTTATTGAACAGCTGCCAAAGTGTTTCATTTTGTCAATAACTGTCCATTAGCTGGACTGCTTGTCCGCCAACAACTCCATGAAAGTTGTGCAAGTGAAGTTCCTGCTTTGCGCTCCAGGACTCACATTGGGTTTCAAAATGGCTCCTAGCAGGACGGAGGCTGCGTGGCCATGATGTCGTCAGGCAGCAGAGAGAATCTGAGCGCACGCTGCTCCGGCCGTCGATATCCTTCTCTGCGTGCCGCCGTCTGGCGTGGACGTTTCTGATCCCTCATGCTGCCCAGTCATTTGTCAGGACTCGTTTCTGTTAGAGCTGCAGAACCGCCGGCACCAGTTCATCAATCAGAGACGGCGGTTTTAATGCCACATGCGTGTGAACATGTCGAACAGCACAATCCAAAGTGTTTGTCTCACTCTGAGCTGCAGCCAGCAGCAGACCGCTTTCTACCCGGCTGCTGTGTTTCTGGTAAAGTCGAGATTACGCTACGTTAACTATGCTGGCATCCTCACCAACATCTGCATTCATCAGAAGGAGGAAAACACTTCATTCTGCAGAAATATGTAAATGGTTTTTAAAAATGAGGTGCATGGCTGTATTTTTGAAACAGGATCAGGATTCCATATTATTTTTGCAAACCTAACCGATGCAGCCGCTGCACGACACGAGCCAGAATCACACAAAGAAACATATTCAGCTCCATAAAACAACAATAGTGGGAGAAGATGGAGGATTTGCCTTGTTGTGAATGTTTTACAGAATGCAAAAGCCTAAAATAAACGCGAGATGTTTATGTTTAAAGGAGTAAGCAGCATAGAAATCCAAACTACATTTAGAATTCAAGCTTTTGCTGCCAGAATCCAACAACATCCTGACCTGCAGCATCTGCTGCTCACATGCATTTCAGGGACAATCATTCTCCTTCTTCCTCATTTTAACAAGAATCTGATCAATACGTTTAATAAAGCAATGGCTAATATGATGCGGCCTATAAAAGGCAGCCTCTGTTATTGGCCTTTCTCAGCTGATTGGTTTGGTTTCACAGGAGCCGCGGTTCTGGACGGTTTTACTCCAGGTCCAGCTGAAAACAACCCAGTAACCTGTAGCTGTTACTGGGCACTGGCTTCATCAAACTGGAGGTACTGGTTTCATCAAACTGGAGGTACTGGCTTCATCAAACTGGAGGTACTGGCTTCATCAAACTGGAGGTACTGGGTTTAATCAAACTGGAGGTACTGGTTTAATCAAACTGGAGGTACTGGTTTCATCAAACTGGAGGTACTGGCTTCATCAAACTGGAGGTACTGGCTTCATCAAACTGGAGGTACTGGTTTCATCAAACTGGAGGTACTGGTTTCATCAAACTGGAGGTACTGGTTTCATCAAACTGGAGGTACTGGTTTCATCAAACTGGAGGTACTGGTTTCATCAACTGGAGGTACTGGCTTCATTAAACTGGAGGTACTGGTTTCATCAAACTGGAGGTACTGGCTTCATTAAACTGGAGGTACTGGTTTCATCAAACTGGAGGTACTGGTTTCATCAAACTGGAGGTACTGGTTTCATCAAACTGGAGGTACTGGTTTCCCATAATAGATTCAGACATGCAGCAGAAAAAAGGCTGATTTTTAAATTTATTTCCTCAGCTCATCTCAGATGTTAAATTTATTATTATGCGGTGAGAAAAGAAAACAAGAACAAAAAGATTATCAAAGGAGTAAGTAAAGTGAAGATAACTTGTTTCATTATTAATAATTTCTAGATTTAAAAAGAGAAACAAATTTTCACTTCAAAATCTTAGAAATATTTTTAACACCACGGTTAAAGCAAACAAAAAGAAAAACTGGAAGGACTCAGTATTTCATGATTCTTATCTAATACAAAAGAAAATGATCCACACAGTTAGATATTTATATTTAGGGTGATTTACAGGTTACAACAAGTATTATGACTTTTCAAGTCATTTAATAACATAATGATTGTTACCTTCAATTTAAAACTGCTGCGTATTATACAACAAAACTTTTTATAAAACTATTTTAAATTGGCCTCTGTCTCTTTAAGAAGCTGCTGCTCTGCTCAGCAGATTCACTTCCACCAGGTGCTTCCTGGTTAACAGCAGAGGACTAGTTATACCTAGTAATCCTCCACTAGGGGGAGCTGGGCTGTGTCGTCCTTCCAGTGAGTTCTGGCTTCGTCCCGGCCTGCATCAATGTCTCTGGTTATGTTATGACCAAAGGTCGTCCCTTTGACAGAAAACTGAGGACATTGTCTTTTGACCCAGTTCACATCTTTAGTGTTTGTACAGATGTGTAACATCTGAGAAACCTTTTATCCAGGCTTCGGTTTAACTCCAACAGAAACATGGCGTCCTTTTCACCGGCTGTTCTTGGCCCAGAGTTTCTGTCCTCAATATTTCAGGTATTTCGGAAAACAAGTGAGGAAGTCTGTCACTGCCAGGAA